GTCTGAGTTCTTCCCCTTCCAAACAGGGGTAAAACAAGGATGTGTAATGGCACCAACTCTCTTTTCTATTTTCTTGGCTGCCTTCCTTATTCATGCCAGTGCCAATTCAGCTGGCAAGGTGGACATCCAGTACTGGATGAAGGAACTTATCAACATAAGACGACTCCACACAGGAACAAAGGTGTCGGAGCTTCCATCACTGAACTTCAGTATGCAGACAACCTCACACTCATCGTTCACACTGAACGCAACCTACAGGAGATCCTGAACACCTATGCAGATGTATATGCACACTTCGGCAGCCGTCTCGTCTCTAATATTCCACGTATTATTAATAAATTGTATTGTTAATTTTGCACACACAAACATTAATCCAATAAAAACAAATTCAGAAACATTAATTAAAATATATATGAACAGTAAATAAGTGTTGCTTTCATATTCTTATGTAAAGTAATGACGATATGTTTTCACTTGTGCGCACTTACTGTACATAAACAATCTCTCTTTTTTTCTTTACCATTATCGTTAGCTACTTCTATTGTTCCATTTATTAACATTAAATAACATTACTTAAAACAACCATATTAATTTTACTACACCTACAACCACGGTCTTATTTTCTTCAGTTTTATATGTAGAACCAGTCAGTCACTGGTTTTGTAATCAACGAAAACAATGCTGTGTCAATTCGTCTTGTGTTTTAATATTCTACGTATTATTAATGAATTGTATTGCTCATTTTGCACACATAAACATTAATTCAATAAAAAAGACATTCAGTAATAAACAATAATGAATCTTTTGTACATAAGAGAAATGATGCTGTTTACACTTTTATGCACGTCGTCTGCACGTTGGCGGGCCGTTCAAACCCGTCGAAATTCAAGTTTCCACCGTCAAAATTTTTATTTATTTATTTTTTTGTGTGTTCCAATAAAATACGTTAGGAATTAAAAACTCGCGAAATTTGAGACGCTACTATACGACATTTAACCCTTCAATATGTCTTCAAAGAGACCATGATGCAGAGAAAGTGGTGCTAGTGCTTCCAAGCATAAGCACAAGTCACTATCTATCCAGGAAAAGGGTGAATTTCTATGGTCCGGCACCGGTCAGGTCCCGAGGTTGCCGAACTAGAGAGGTACAACCTGTAGTTAGGTACTATTATACAGGGGCTCCTCTACTTACGAACGGGTTAGGATCCTGAGGTCTGTTCGTAAATCCAACATTACTCTTGTCAATACTGTATACAGCATTGTAACAAAAGGTTGTACAGACAGCTATACCCCAATAATACTTGACAATATTTCTTCCCAGCCTTAAATGGTATTTTAATGTATAAGTAGCATGTACTGTATAGTAATAATAGCATGTATAGTAATAATAAATAAAGGTATTATTATAAGGTTCTTACTCTATTCCTGGTGCTGCCTTGCTTGGTGGGGCTGATGTTGCTTGCAGAGGTGTTGGAGTTAGTTGGAGGATGGAGATGGAGGATCAACAGGGTCTGAGGTACAGGTATCTGGTTCTAGGAATGGCTTTAAAGGCTGTATAACCTCCTGTATATGGCATTGGTTCTTGATGTTCCGTAGATTATAATTTCCCTTGCTCCTTGTGTCCCATCTCAACTCTCGTGAAAAACTTATCAGGGGTTGTCTGCACAGTTAATCTTTTCTTTTCTTCATAAATTATCTTGTAGCAGGCAATAGCATCATGAACAGCTGCAGACACTTTTGTAAATCTTTCAATGTTTGGGTCCTGAGACTCAAAAGAAGCTAGTACCTTCTCAATCATGCTGAGATCTTCAGCCAGTTGCTTAGAGTTGAACTTTTTGGGTTCCTCAGCCTCCTGTTTCTCCTCAGGGACCTCCTCCTGGACCCTGTGTGACTCCAGCTCCATCAAATCTTCGTTCGTCAGCTCCTGAGAGTGGCATTCCAACAATTCGTGGACATCATCTTCCTCCATTTCCAAATGCAGTTGCTTGCCCAGTTCCACTAGGTTTGTTGGCCACTGAATCCACATACTCTGTAAATCCCTTGAAGTCATTGGCAAATTGTAGGCAGAGCTCCTTCCAAACACCATTCATGTTGGAAGTCTTGACCTCATGCCAGGAAGCATCAATGTTCTTAATGGCCTTGTAGATGTTGTAGTTCTTCCAGAACTCTCTCAGTGTCACTCCACTCTCCCCTTCAGTCTCCTTCACAGCCTGTGTGAAAGTTCTCTGCAGGTAGTATGCTTTAAAACTTGCTATGACACCTTGGACCATAGGCTGCAGGACAGAGGTGGTATTGGGAGGCAAGTACACCACCTTGATGTTGGCATGGAAATCGTCCAGGAATGATGGATGACCAGGGGCATTATCTAGCACAAGCAGGATCATGAAGGGCAGGTTTTTGTTGTTGCAGTACTTTTCCACCTCAGGTACAAAATTATGGAAAAACCAGTCTTCGAAGAGGACTTGAGTCATCCATGCCTTAGGGTTAGCCTTCCACACAACAGGAAGTGAAGCTTTGACAACACCCTTGAGGGCCCTGGGGTTTTTGGAATGATACACTAACAAAGGTTTTAGTTTGCAGTCACTAGCAGCATTTCCACCAAGCAGGAGTGTAAGTCTATCCTTCGATGTCTTTAAACGAGGCATAGTCTTTTCTTCTTTGGCGATGTATGTATGATCAGGCATTTTCTTCCAGTATAAACCGGTCTCATCCACATTAAACACCCGCTCTGGTAGGTAACCCCCCTCATCAATAATTTCTGACAAAAGCTGCTACCATGATAGCACTGGCAGCCTCACCACTCACTCTTATGTTGCGCAGGTTTGAACGAGCCTTAAACCTGTGGAACCAACCATGGCTAGCAGTAAATATTTCTTCAGTAACACTCTCACCATGTTTAGCCTTTACGTCTTCAAAGAGACTTATGACCTTCTGCTGAATGAAGTTAAGGCTTATAGGCATGCGGTGCTGATGCTGGTCTTCCGGCCACACACTCAAAAGTTTTTCCATCTCTGCGATCACTGAGCCTCTTTTCTTACTGATGATCGTGGAATGCACTGGCACAGAACCTTTCAAATGTTACATAATGCGCTTTGTCCTTCAAAATTGTCCCAACAGTCGAATGATTCATCCCAAGAGTATTTGCTATGCTTATCATTTTCTCACCTCTTTCACAACAGTTTATAATGTCCACCTTAGTTTTCAACGTAACAGTGCGAAGCTTATTACTACCATTTTTTCTTTTACTTTTTTACACAATACTGTACTGTATGTATGTAGGATGGTCTGTACATGTAACCGAGTAAAACTATATGAAGAAAGTTACGTACCCAAAAATATGAGATGATAAACAACCATAACACCAGTAGCCTGGAGTCTAACTTGGCTACAATGCTGCCAGCGATGTTAACAGACACAAATGTGAAAGAAAGTTACTATTTTACACAAACAGAAATTACACGTGTATACAGACGACTCGGGAAGTTTTGTTATTATCATATACGAGTATTAATTATTAAATAAAGAAAACGATTAAGACATTGGTAAATAAACAAAATACAGAACTAATGAAGGTGATTTGGCACAAGCGCATAAACCACCCAGCAGTGAGATGATTGCAGGCGTATTATCAATGTTTTTATTTTTTATTTGTTTTTAATAAATTGTCTTGTGTTTTTTTTTTACTATTTTCCATCCCAAGCAACAATTACTTTCGTGAATATATTACTTTTATCCTCTTCACCACTGATCAGCTCGTTAGCCGCTTGGGCGATCGGTCAGTGTTACATACTGTTGCCAAGTACTGGCTCCTGAATTTATCTGAACCTGCGTCAGTGCTTGTCAAGTCTGAGCAAAAGCTAAAATCGTGCACAATAAAAGCAAATCATGACAAACAAGTCCATCTCTGGAAGCCAGGGGATGAATATGAAGATAAAATATCATCACTTCTAATTTCTTCAAAAAATTTTCATTGTCTTCTTCAAAGCTAGCATGAGTAAATTTTAGTCTCACATTCTTTTTGTTTTTCGTTTTAGTCTTTAATAAATTGTTTAAGTGAGATGCTTGCAAGAGTAATAACGTTTTTATTTTCTTATTTTCATCTTTAATAAATTGTCTTAGTGTGATGTTTGCATGATCCAATGTATTGTTATGCCGAGGCATAATTTTGTAATACAATTTTGTAAACTTGGTGTTTTGAAAAAACATTGGAAAATATTTTCATTAACCACCCAGCAGTGAGATGACTGAAGGCGTATTAACAATGTTTTTATTTTACTTTCGTTCTTTAATAAATTGTCTTTGTGTTTTTTTACTATTTTCTATCCCAAGCAACAGTTATTTTCCTGTATATATTGATGGTGATGAACGCAACACGAAACGGGTTAAAAATAGTGATGAAACGGGTAGGTGACGGTATGGGCAGACCCCAAAATATCCACTGCCTAACCTAAATTGACCCAGGAAAACCGTTTTAGTATTAAATTTCCAGTTATGGCATACAATATATCATAATCTGTATTTTTCACAGACATTCCGTGTCAGTAGCCCATCCTATACAAACATCTGGTAGGGGTCCAACTAATTACCCAAATGTAGCCAAATGTAGCCGCAATGAAGTCAAATAATAGTCCTAGATGAATAAATCAGACTGCCAATCACTTCTCGACTAGTATTTGGTGTCATAAAGTAAAAAAAAAATTGGTAAACTTAATTTAATCTGAGTTAATAGATCGAGTGCATGTACCTAACCTAACCTAACACAACTCAGATTAAAGTAAGTTTACCAATTTTTTTTTTACTTTATGACACCAAATACTAGTCGAGAAGTGATTGGCAGTCCGATTTATTCATCTAGGACCATTATTTGACTTCACTGCGGCTACATTAGTGGGACCGTGTTGTAGTATGTGGCCACCAGCCAGCACCACATAAAACATTACCTGACTTATGACACACAGACGCACATTACTGATAATACCGCTATTTAAAATAATGCCTTACCTAATAATGTTCCTATTACACGATGAGCATCAGGATTTCTTCTTTCGTAGGAATCCACAATGGTGAAAAACACCACGGGATGAACTTTGGCCACCAGGTTGAGCGCCATGTTGTCGTCAGAGGGAAGGCCGCTCACTGACAGGCTTAACCAGGGTGTATAATGACATAGTGTACTACTTTTTATACAACAATAATTACTTGATTTAAATAATCTTTGGCACAGCAATTATTTAAGGTAACGAATAGCTTATCATATTGAGTTTGGTTTAGTCTGTAGTAATGGAACAAAACATTTTGACAACATTACTTCACGTGTTGCCACTATACGAATCTAGAGAACTTTATATTTGCAGCCGCTAGTTTGGACAGTTCTAAAATACTTTTTCTCAATGGCACTTCTGGCGTAAATTAAGTTTAAGCGATATATTTAACATTTTATTATGTATGTTCATAGGTGGCGGTAAACACCAAGACCAAAGTAAAGTTCATCGAAGAGAACCGAACACTCCAGACTCAAGTTCAACAGCTGAGTGAGGAACAAACCAAGCTTAAAACGACACCAGCAGACCGGGTGGATGACATAAGGCGGCGAAACAACCCCAGGATGGCCGGTATCCCTGAAGACACCCACGAGAACTGGGAGTCATCTCACGCCTGCTGAATGAACATTTTAAACTTCCTTAAGTCAAGTTTGGTCGAGCTCAACCCGTCGGGAACCCAACTTCTCCCTCCCCCACGACACCCTCATCCCCCTCTGACCGGGACAAAGTGTTTTATCAACGCAGTCAACTGAAAGGCATCACTATCTTCGTCAACGGAGATCTCTGCCCAGGTACTACTAAAGCCCGTCTACAGAAAATGGACCAGTTTAAAGAAGCCAGGAAACAAGGGAAATTAAGATAATGATAAAAGAAAAACAAACTCCAAAGGAAATTTGCAAAAAGACCCATAACTTTCGGTGATGCAGGCCCGGATTATCCATTAGGCACAGTGCCTTGGGTCTACGAAAAATACAACGAGAACTTTTCTTCCCCTTTTTCTACAGGTTATTATTAAATTGATAGAGGTACTTTTTTCCATTTATTTATTACTTAATCCTATTAGTGTCCACCAGCTAGCTGTGCTTCTTGTAAACAAAACTATTTCTGTACTGTACAAGAACAGCTGATCTAACCCATTTTCTTTTACTTAATTCATGACAAACATCACTGAATCTTATTCTTTCGACATCACATTTTATAATTAGGTACTAGTTTGTGTTATTAGTGAATATGCTGTCAAATGGGGCCCCATATTTTGGAGGTGCCTAAGGCCTATGAAAGTCTTAACCCGGCACTGGTGATGCTTACCTTAGTATCAGAAATAGAGCTTATACAAATAAGCTCCAGTCAGCATCAGGCGACAGTGTAGTGGATTTCTCCCCTACAAACGCTGTTTGTCGCTGAGTAGCCGGCCCCGCGAATTCCAGTGTGTGCCTCATAGTCTAGGTCAACCAGCGCCGCCCACGGAGCGGAGGTCAACTATCTACCCACACCTACTTCCGCTATAAAAGACCTGACCTCGTGGTGACCTGTCTCTTTCTACCTACACCAACCAGCCAGCAACACCTCCTCCTCCGCCTGCCTGGCGGTCCTCACTCCCGCCGGCGAGCATGGACCCGGAGCTGTGAAGACTTGCCTCTTCTGCTGCATGTTTGAGCAGTCTGCAACTTCATTGTGATAGGACACTCAATCCTAGTGATTGTACTTACTCAACATAGCGACGGTGCAATTACCATCTCAGATTGTACGAAACATTCCAACTTCTGAAAAACATATATTTGGGCTCCCCAAATTTTGACTACTACCCGTGCGTCTACGTCCTGGATTGGCCAATCAGTGGTGCCCCACGGTGGCGTGATACAAGCACGTTTACTGCGGTGCTCTGATTGGCTAACAGAACGTGGCGTGGTAGGGAGACTGTCTCTACTCTCTAAGTCCTCTTCTTTCCTTTTTTCATCCCCCTCATGCACTCCGTTCCTTGAACGGGAGGCGGGACTTAGCGATACGGTCGATCCGGCAAGGGAACCTGTGATAGTGCAGGGCACCCCTTGTCCGGGGGTCACCGGTAGGTGGCAACTTTTTAGACATAACTATAGTCACAGGTAACCTGGGCGCAGAACCCTACGAGCCCGACGCCCGTCCAAGAGGGGGGGGCGGGGTCACTGCTCCCAGGCAGGAGCCCTGTGTTATAGGTAGGATTGGGATGTAATCAAGGAAGATGACTACAAGCATTAGAATAAAACATAGAGATAAGGGACACTCTATTGGAAGAGGAAAAGTGGCAGAAATCACTTACAACAAATTGCAAGTCCCACTAACAAGAATATTTAGCACCAACGAAGGTTTCAAAGTAATCTGTAAAGATGACTTTGACTCAGACAAAATCCTTTCAAAAGAAGCCAGAGATGTATTTTACAATGAAGGACTTGTTGTTGTCATGCCACCAAATCAAAAAGCAAAAAGATCAGTTTTCGTTCGTCAAGTCGACCAAGAGATCGGGAGGAAGACATCTGAAGATCTGAAAGATGAACTGGAACGCCAAAACAGTTGGATGAAGATCGAGGAAGTCATCAAGATAAAAGACTACACTCATGTTTTCAAGATTACCTTCGAAGAAGTTTCAATGGCTGAAAAAGTTTTACAACAGGGCTTTCTAATATTTAACATGTCAGTAACACCTCATCAAATAAAGAAGGAAACATTCATCAGTCTGCAAACTTGCTTTTCCTGTTACAAATATGAAGAACACACAACGAGAGACTGTCCAGAAAAAGAGAAAAAGTACTGCTCAGATTGTGCAGGCGACGACCATACCTACACTGAATGTAAGAACACACATGTTGGCTGTCTCAACTGTAAGAGAAACGGGAATGCATACATAGGACATAGGACGTTAGCAATGGCATGCCCAATAAAAAAACACATGATAAAGTACAAGGAACAAGAAACAAGGAAAAAGGAACAAGACAAGAAGGATACGACATGCGTCGAAATAGCCAAGAGAGCGGTCCAAGAGGCTCACAGACCAGAATCCACCATATTAAACTTAAGTGAACCAATACATGACAAGGTAATGATTAGTATGATCCACGCACATCTGCACAATATCATTGCACGCGGATCATACAATGAGGAGTTAAGGAAAATGTTTAAATTGAATAGCCTACCAGAGATGATATTCCCAGAGAATCCAGAATCTGAAAAACTATTTCAGGCAACAAACTCAAGTGAACTGAGAGAAAGACTACAGTTAGACAAACAAAGGTTTGAGCAAGGAGCAAGAGCTGATACACAAGGAACACAAGCGACTGATAGAGATCCCAGACAAATGACTAGAAGTGACAAAGAGAAGATAGAAATAACAAAAGGACAGACTACAAGACAAAGGATAAGGAGGAGAGAAGATAAGATGGAGACTGATCACAATATACAACCTGAATCTGCTGAAGATATTGGATTAAAAGTTATCACCACAACAAAACATGGAATCCCAACATCGAGACCAACAGGAGGGACAATAGCAAAAAACTGTGAAGGAGGGATATACAAGTGGACATATCAAGAAAAAAACCCTAAGCGAAGATTACGTCTGGACACTTATCACTATGGACAAACTAAAGATTACGACCAATGACTTTAAAATAGTAGACCCGTCAGAGTTTAGAAGAGTAAGAAGCGGGAAACAGGACGATAGGTCTCCACTCCAACAGTCACAATCCAAGTATAAGAAATAATGGACAATAGAGAAACAGTAAGAACTTTAAGAATAATACAACTCAACGTAAGAAACTAGAAGAACGAGAGAATTAACCTAAGTAATATATATCAAGAAATGGACCCTGACATTATACTAATAAACAGTCAGGGTGAGACAGACAACAACAACATAAAACTCTTTAACTATTATGTAAACCAAAGAAATAAATCGGGCGAGAAAAATGACGGAGTAGCTATAGCGGTTAAAAGAAACTTAAAATTAAAACTAATCGATGACTTCCACGATGAATTTCTAGCAATAAAAATAAATACAACTCAAGGAGACGTAATTATTGCTACTACTTATCTCCCACCGAGATGACCCTACTTACCTACAGAAGACCTATTAAAATTGGCTAACAATAGTCATCCGATGTACATCTTAGGAGACTTTAACGCCAGACACAGGATTTTTGACAATACAAATAATAACGCCGTGGGAAACGCCCTTAATCAATTAATAAACCTAGGGAAAATCAATCATCTAGGTCCTAACTTTCCAACCTGGAGAAATCACAATACACAATCGACACCAGACAAAATATTTACCAACAACAAAGCCTTTTTCAATTACCATATAAAACAAGGACCTCTTACAGGCAGTGACCATCTGCCAATTATACTAACACTGTCAACAAGCCCCATACAGATACCAATAAAAAAGAGACTGAAAATGAGTAAAACAGACTGGGACAGCTTCAAAGACGACTTAGGTAATCACCACTCGATTAACCTACAAGGGAAAACAACAGAAGACATAGACTCAGAAATGGACAGACTGCACTCAGCAATAAAAACATCTATAACCAAACACACTCCTACTTCACACTTTAGAACATTACCCAACAACAGACTACCAGAAGAAGTTAAATTAATCCAAACCCATTACAATGAAATAAACAGGTATATGGAAAGACACGGCAGTATCAGATGGCTATATACGACACAGACAGCACTACAGATAAAATTAAGAGACGCATGTAAAGAAGCAAACAATAAAAAATGGAATGATATTATAATGGCGGCTGACATGACTAAAGACACAAAAACATTTTGGACTTCCATAAACAAGATGATGGGGCACAACAAGCAAAAAACACTATACATTAAAGACCAAAATGGAATAAAACTGCACGAGGAAAATGAACAAGAGTCAGCATTCAAAAGGGAATGGGTAAAAGTTTTTAAAATATCAGATGAGGAAAATGAAGATTTTGATAGTGAACACGAAGAAAGGATAGAAGACGAAATGGGAAGACAAATACATAGAATCACCCCAAAGCAATATATAGACTATAACTTATTACCTAATAATCAAATAATAACCATGGGAGAAATGATGCACTGTCTGAGGAAGTTTAAGGAAAAGGCCCTTGGGCTCACAGGTATTACACGAAATATGATCATGAAACTACCTGAAAACATCTTAAAAACACTATTAAACATTTATAACGCATGCTTAATAACCGGTTACTTTCCAGACAAACTAAAATATGCTAAAATGATATTTATTCCCAAGGAGGGTAAGGACAATAAGGAAATATTAAACTACAGGCCAATATCTTTATTAGAGATTACATAGGAAAATTTTTCTGTCTTGAGAAGCACCTGGTTGTGAAAATACTTGATCATAGAAGCACCTGTAGACTTTGTGATCTTTATGTGCTCCTTTATCTTGCTGGGTGGACACATCATATTACTTTAAACCAATTACAGCTAGCAGCGGAGGGAGGTAGGGATGCATGGCCAATCACAGTCCGATACGTCATATTACGTCAGTGATAACGCAACAGAGACATGCACTGCGCAACCTTACCGCGCGGCTTGGCCAGGCGGAGGCAGAGGAGGGAGCAGGCGGGTGGGGCGAATCTAAAAATAGCGTCGAGCCGGACACTCTCCGCGTAAAGGGGTACACTCACCGCGGAATGTGAGCATCCTGGGTTCCGGCAGGGCACCGCGTAAATGTGGAAAAGCGGAATGTGGGACCGCGTAAAGTGAGGGCTGACTGTATCTTCTTGATTTGAGTCTGGCAAACCTTTTGATGACTTCATTAGGTTCAATGTCATCCAGTGTATTCTTTTCAATGGACAGAACTGCCCGGTGATTGAGTCTGTCCTGTCCCATAGTGCTCCTTAACCATGTGTGTGTAGACATCTCAAGGCACTGAAGGATCGCTCACAGCTGTTGACAGGAATGGTCATTTCCACTTGAAAGATGGCTTTCAGAGTTGGAAACATAACAGAATTGAACAACCTGTATACACTGAGCATGTCAGGAGTGGCACCTGTCTCTTTTTTTTTCCTGGCTAGAAAATTCTTAGCAACCAGTATTTCCTCAGATTAAAGCTGGATTTTGTAGTGAATAGCAGCTTTTGTTAAGAACTCTTCAGAGAGGAAAGTCGCAGAGGCTGGGTGACAAGCCTGGATACCTTTCATGAGATCAGCTCCCACACCAGTAAATTGTTGGTAAAGCTCATTGACCATTCCGTCACGACAAGGAAAATACAAGATCCTTTTCAGAAGTTCTGCATTACTGAGATTGGAGCTTGTTTCACAAGAGGACTCCACCACATACTCCTCCATCTTCTTTTGTTAGGATCTTGGACCCCTCTACTCCTGGATGTGGATAGTTTCACATATGGCTTTTGCTTTCTTGTATAGATCTTCAGCAATTTCATCAATGCATTTTTCTCTCAGTGTCATAGACAGCATCTTTGATTGCAGTGCTTGGGTCAAGTCCACAGTTTCCCTTTGAAGAAACTTATGCAACCCCTCTGTGGTGGAGAGCAAGCTCTGGAACATTACAAGCATGTATATTGTTGGTAACCTGTACAGTTTTGCTCTAAGACCCACTGCCACAGCTATTCCAATCTCCTAGAGGCACTGTGTAACAGCAGTACTCATCAGGAGTAGTAATTGATAAATTAAGGACACTCATATAAAATCCATTTGATATGGATGGAAGCAAATCCTGAGTTTAAAACATTATTAATTCTTGAAAAGATTTGGTGCTATAAAAAAACATTCGGGGCTAAAGCTCCTCCCACACACACAGCTATGCTTTTTATTTTTCTTATTGTATAGTTTAATTTATATTTTCTTTATTTCTAAGCCACATTAGAGTATTTAAAATTTTACTCTATTTAAAAAATGGGTTTACTAGGGTGGACTACAATATCCTAAGTGATATAAGTTACGTGTTTATTTATAACTCAGACTTGAATTATACATAGAGAAATTTTTTTTTTTTTAAATCATTACTTTGTACTCGAAAAACATACTCCACATAAACATCAATGCCATCCTTGAAACATTTATCATTTTTACCCCAAAATATTTTGGCAAAAATGATAACCTTGATAGCCATGGTACCATACCCTATTTTTCCATAGGGTATTGAATTCAATATTTGGGAAATCACGATTAGGTTCAGTTTCCAAGAACGTAACCCTCATGAACATGGGGTAATAAGTGTACGGGGTGTCCGTAATGTCCCATTCTGATTTCAAACATATACATATTATGTGCAAACAGCATAAGATATTGAAATACATTTTTTGGCAATTGAAAGAGTAACTATTAAAGTTTTGTATGTCCAGTAAATTTGGTAACTGTACCGGAGAAAGCTCAGTGTGTCATCTGGCAGGTGGATTGGCCGTGACGGCCCGAATATCAAATGGCCCCCACGCTCCCCTGATATAGTGCCTTTAGATTTCTTCCCCTGGGATTTGTACAGCTCATGTTTTTCAAATATACCTGTTTATGGCACACAAAACACTCCGATCCAGAATAAGTGAAGGCATCAGCCGAGTTACACCAGATGTGTTGGCCAACATGTGACATGAACTTGAATATCGCTTGAATGTTTTATGTGCCACTTAAGAGGCTCATGTTGAATTTTTTTTAGGAGAAAAACAAAACTTAAATAGTTACTCTTTCAAATGCAAAAAACTGTATTTCAATATTTTTTGTTCCTTGCACATAATTAATGTTTGAAATCAGAATGGGACCTTATGGACACCCAGTATTACTAATATTAAAAATAGTATTGTCATATTATAAGATTTAAAAAGAAAGGATCCCCTTTATTAGATGGTTTACTGTGGCACTTTACAGTGTTATTTTGTGTCAGGTATTAAGAATATGGTACTGTACTGATTTTGAAGTCAGAGTCATAAGCCTGTGCCTTACATCAAGTACTGACATACATTTCTTAGTTTGCAAAAATATCTCCCATAGTCAGCCAGATGTTCTTGACTTGTGTAGCTTGGTATAAGAACTCTTCACCCTCTCCTTCATGGGCATCCAACCACTTACGATCCAGCCCATAGTTCACCCAGGTTCGTTTGAGATTAACTGCTGAAGTGTGCTCCACAAACTTTGACCCTTCCAAGCTACCAAAGTACCTGTAACAGAAGATTTCCTTTACTGGACTACAAGTGAAGGACTAATACAATAAAATCCCATATTATAGCTGAGAGTATGAGCCTAATGATGCCAACTAAAACACCTCATGGGGACTCAGTGTCCTTTATATGGCTGTGAGCATAATACTCTTAATATTTATTTTTGAGATGCGTTCCTTACAAGTTTTTATTTTAACTTGTGGTTCACAAAAAGAACATTCTGACTCTGCTTTATGGTAAGTTTCATATGACTGTACAGCATATCAGCACAAACTGAAAGCTGTTTATTTAACAAGTACAATTTCAGCTTTGAATTTATTACTAAAGCAGGAGTTAACACTATTGTGAACCTCTGAACAAATAGAAATGAAGGAGATAAAATTTTTCATTGTCCAGTATCTTTAAAGAATCTCTACCATGCCACACTTCAGTTCTTGACAGGCCACTGAGCTGTAACCATTATTTGCTACACTTGCCTTTACACCTTTGTTATCACCTTAAATATACATCCACCAGGAGTTCAAAGAGAAAAGAAAGTACACAAAAGGATAAGTCGAGTGTACAGAGACAAAAAGAGTACAGTTACGCTACTACCTCACGATCCGAAGACTCAGATTTTTTTTTTTTTTAAAGGGAATAGCCCCCCCGGGCACAGGTCATCGACCCACAATGGGGGCAAAAAAGTAAAAATAAATAAAAAATTAAATACGATTACAGTATAATCTGGGTTTACACGGATATTTTATACGCGTTTGGCCATTTACGCGGCACCTGTCCAGACGCGCCAATTATTAGTTACGCGGTACATTCCTTAATTTACGCGGCTGGTCGCTGATGTCAGACCCGTGCCGATGATGTCGCGGACTGTGATTGGGCCACGTATCCTTACCACCCACGCATCCCCTCAGCCGAGCGCTGTGATTGGTTTATTTAACCTTGCTTGCCCAGTCAATGAAACACTACCGAGTTCTTCACCCGCCATTCACCACAGCCAGCCCAAGTCAGTGATAGTGATAGTCAGGATATGGACTTTGAGGGGTTTGACAAGGAGGCCATGCTAGCCTCTGTGGTGGATAGTGATACAGGTGACACAAGTGATACAGGTGAGGGCCAATAATCTGCCCTCTGCCTCGGAACCAAACCCCCATCCCCGTGTACCAGCCATCTCTTCTACTAACGTAAGTGTTAAAAAACCTAATATTATTGCTATTTTTCTTAAATATTAATTGTGTGTGCATACCATCATAAAATTAAGATGTTATTTTTACTACAACGTACGTACTGTATTGTGTCGGAAAAAGGGTACTCTGGTGGTCGGCCCAGTCTCTATTTCAATTAATCCCATATGTTCTGTTATTTTATTTACGTGTTTCGCGTTATATGTCGACCTCCATGGGTTTATTTGACCGCGTATACTGTACAGTAGTACCCCGATTTACACGGTCAATTGAACCCATGGGGTACCGCGTAAAGTGAATAACAGAACATATGGGATTAATTCCTTTCGAGACTGGCCCGACCCCCAAACTCCACTTTTTCCGACACAATACCTATGTTGTAGTAAAAATAACATCTTAATTTTATGATGGTATGCATACACAATTAATATTTAAGAGAAATACAGTCGCCAGGTTAATGTCCATTCAAAATACCCGACCTCCACCCCCTTCCGATCGCTGGGTCTTTACCCCCACCCCCCACCTTCCCTCCCTACTAGAGAAATGTTTGGGAGAAAACAGTATATTTACATTTTTAGTAATAAATAATATCTCAGCCTAAAGTTAGGATAATAAATATAATTGACATTTCTGGATTACTAACAGGTCAGGGAATATTTGGAATGTAACTTCATATATTTTGCACAAAAGATAAAATATTTGCTTTGTGTAAACCAAATTATTACATTAGATTTGAAATTTGTATGTCTAATGCAAAATCTATGATGTTTATATTCAAAATGATCATCAAATTGTAAGAATTCCAGCAATGTAAATTAGATTCTGGCCGGGTAATTTGTATTAATTTTATGAACTAAATAAAAAAATTATACTTCAGCCGCGATATATGAGTAGATGCACCGCGTAAAGGGGGAATTCCGGTTCTGGCAGGGTACCACGTAAATGTAGAAACGCATAAAAAAAAAGCCGCGTAAAGCGGGTATCCCTGTATTTACTACAGTAATACCCGCTTTAGAAATGAATTTACTGACTTTGGTAGTTTAGATTCAAGGGAAACATTCCCAGCACCCAGAAACATTCTGGGAAATTTTTCCCAGTAACAGGAAAAGATTCCGGGGATCAGGAATTTTTCTGGGTTTGAGAAAGTCGTCAGGTAACCGTAAATTTCTCATCCCTGTAAGTGCTCTGCACCAATTGTTCCGGCATATGGGGATATCAGTGCATTAACGTCTGACAGTATCTCAGGTGTAACTGTATACTGCCTGAAAGAGTTAGTGGGAGTTTCTTCATCCCTACCAATGAAGATTCCATAGAGTAAGAGGTTCAAGCTAGTGGGCCACTAGGGTGAGGAGGAAACTATTTGAAGGACATAAAATTAATAAAATACCTGATATTGTGGAGAGAAAAGAACAGCCAAATTGAAGAGTAACATGTTAAGAAACACTAACCACATGGCCTGGAGATCCTGATGCTCTGTTAAATACTTGGTAACATGGTCCCGGGAACCAGTGAGGATGTTGATGACTCCTCCTGGGAGGTCTGAAGTCTCTAAAACCTGTGTGTGTAATAAACAGGAATATACTATTATCTTTCATTAAAAAATGCTTCAGTGAATAGAAGTAAAAACAATCTCCAATACAGTAGCACTCACATAACACGAGGGCTACACTACAGCCATATTGTAGGAAACTGTCACATTTATTCTCCGTATTTTTAAGAGTTATGTTCTTGGAAATCATCATGAATTGTGAATTTACAAATACAGGTTGTACCTCTCTAGTCTGGCAACCTCGGGACCTGACCAGCGCCGGACCATGGAAATTGCCGGACCATGGAAATTCACCCTTTTCCTGGATAGATAGTGACTTGTGCTTATGCTTGGAAGCACTAGCACCACTTTCTCTGCATCATGGTCTCTTTGAAGTCATATTGAAGGGTTAAATGTTGTACAGTAGCTTCTCAAATTTCGCGAGTTTATAATTCAAAGTTTTTTATTTGAACACGCCAAAAAACAAAACAATTTAAAATTTTGACGGCGGAAACTCGAATTTTGATGTGTTTGAACGGCCCACCAATGTTCAGACGACGTGCACAATCATGTAAACAGCGTCATTTCTCTTATGTACAAAAGATTCATTATTGTTTATTACTGAATGTCTTTTTGATTGAATTAATGTTTATGTGTGCAAAATCAGCAATACAATTCATTAATAATACGTAGAATATTAAAACACACAAGGAAATGAGACAGCATTGTTTTCGTTGATTACAAAACCAGTGAGTGACTGGTTCTACATATAAAACTGAAGAAAATAAGACCCTGGTTGTAGCTGTAGTAAAATTAATATGGTTGTTTTAAGTAATGTTATTTAATGTTAATAAATGGAACAATAGAAGTAGCTGACGATAATGGTAAAGAAAAAAAAGAGAGATCGCATATGTAAGTGCGCACATGTGAAAACATCGTCATTACTCTATATAACAATATGAAAGCAACACTAATTTACCGTTCATATATATTTTAATTAATGTTTCTGAATTTTTTTATTGAATTAATGTTTGTGTGTGCAAAATTAACAATACAATTCATTAATAATTTGTTGAATATTAAAACACCCGAGGAGACGAGACGGCTGCCGGCATTGTTTTCGTTAATGCCTACAAAACCAGTGACTGATTGGTTCTACTTATAAAACTGAAGAAAATAAGACCCTCATTGTAGCTGTAGTAAAATTAATGTAAAATAATTAATACGATTGTTTGAAGTAATGTTATTTAATGTAATAAATGGAACAATATAAGTAGCTAACCATTAATGGTAAAGAAAAAAGTTAGACTGCGTATGTAAGTGCGCACATGTGAAAACATATCGTCATTACTCTACATAAGAATATGAAAGCAACACTTATTTACTGCTCATATATATTGAAGGGTTAAATGTTGTACTCTGTATAGACAAGCAGAGAGAGAGCAGCCGAACTGCCGGATGTAAACAAACCTTAATTTCCCGCAGGTTTGTTGTTGTTTTTTTTTACGGGGATTAGCCTACCTGGGCATAGGTCACTGACCCACATTGGGACCTGAGGGGAAAAAATTTAATACTCCTACCTATTGGACAAACTAAATTCGTGCCGAACCACGGGAGTTCCGGACCACAGAATGCCGGACTAGAGATGTGCAACCTGTACATAATTTAATACCTAATGGTACCATGGCTACCAAGAATATAATTTTGGTCATTATATTTAGGGTAAGAAATGATCAATATTTCAGAGATGGTGTTGATGTTTATAGCAGAAGTAATTGATTTCACTACCTATAATTCAAGTCCGTAACTTATACCACTGGAAATATTATAATCTATACTAGTAAAACCATTTCTCTAACAGAAGAGCAAAAGAGTACAAGATTACAATACTGTACTGAACTGAACATACTCTAATGTGCTGTAGAGAAAGTAAAAAATAATTAAAAAAAAGAAGAAAATTGAAGAGCCTGGGTGAGGACAGCATGTGTGGGCGGTGAATATATGTGTGGAGGCTGTGAGCTTATGCTGTTTTCCTGCTGCCACCACCACCACCACCACCAACACCACGAACACTCACCACCACCACCACCACCAACACCACGAACACTCACCACCACCACCACCAACACCACCACTACCACCACACTCACCACCACCACCACCACACACCACCACACAACCACCACCACTCACCACCACCACCAACTCACTTCCACCACCACTCACCACCACCACCAAAACTCACCACCACCACCACCACCACCACCACTCACCACCACCACCACCACTCACTTCCACCACCACTCACCACCACACTTCCACCACCACTCACCACCACCACCAAAACTCACTTCCACCACCACTCACCACCACCACCAAAACTCACTTCCACCACCACTCACCACCACCACCAAAACTCACTACCACCACCAATCACCACCACCACTAACACTACAAGTGCTCCTCTACTTATGAACGAGTTAGGTTCCTAAGGCTTGTTTGTAAGTCCAAATTTACTATTGTAGATATCAAACATATTGTAAAAAATGAAAAGATTATGGATATTTAGCCCAGCTATACCCTTTAATACAGCCTTAAAACCTGGCTCACTCTTCTCCTCTTAGGTAATGTTTGTTCTATCTGGAATTTTCTTCAAAATAATCCAGTCTCATCCACATTAAACACCTGTTCTGGCAGGTAACTCCCCTCAGTGATGAGGTTTGTATCTCTGAAAGTATGTAAACTGAATGCTCTTACGTAGAGGAGCACCTGTATAAAGTCGCGATATATCCCGACCAAACTGTAGTATAACCTTCTCCCCACCTAGTTATTATATATCATATCTGTATCACTTATGTTACTTGTACAGTACTGTATATTATTTTCAATCAAGAGACCCATTCCCCAATTATGCAACTGTATATTTTCAGCTTCCGGCTGACATGCTCTTTCAATAAACCGTTAATTATTATTATTATTACACACACGCATGCAAGCACATGCACACACACACACATTATCAAATGCACACACACACACATTGTCCCACCTCCTTCCATTACCCTAGGTCCGAACACACTCCAGGTTGTAGATTCCACGAAGCTCCTCGGCGTCACCATAGACAACAAACTAAATTGGAAACCACACGTCAGTGAAGTTGTCAAATCCTCCAGTTTCCGTCTCCACCTCCTCCGCCGACTCAAGTCCCTCGGAGTTCCCGCACACGAGCTCCTCAGTGTATACACAACATTCATACTTCCCAAGCTCACCTATGCCTCCCCCACCTGGTCTTCCTCCCTAAATGCCACACAACGTAAACACCTAGAAAAAGTGCAAAAGAGGGCATGCAAGATTATTCTCTCCCCTTCCTACTCCACATATCAAGAAGCGCTCAACACACTGACCCTTTCGACTCTCACTGACCATCACCACGGCCTCATCTGCAAATTTGGTAAGAAGCTTCTACACCATCCCCGACACCGGCCCCTACTACCACCTGAGATCCCCTGTCCGAGAATTGCTGTTCGACACCACAACCGCATCCAGCCCATACGTGCACGAACTGATCGCTATAAGAACAGCCCAGTCCCAACCATTGTAAAAATTATCAATAACATGTAATAAATCAGTGTATTCACTCCCAGTAAACACTGCTCCCTACACTGTCACTATGTTGAAATGAACTGTAGTTTGAGCTGATCCCCATCTAAGTTACTATATGTCTTATTTGTGTCACTTATGTCACTTGTATATTATTTGTAATTCGTAACCCATTCCCCAAATATGTAACTGTATATTTTCAGCCTTCTGGCTGCCAAGCTCTTTCAATAAACCGTTAATTATTATTATTATTATTATTAACACCAACCTGGTAGAGAGAGAGGGCAACAGTTGGGTACTTCTCACTTGGAACAGCCACAACAGCATTCCCACGAGCAACTGCTGCAGCAACTAAAGAAACAAAACCAAGAAGGGGAGCTTTATCTGGACATGCCACTCCAATCAGCCCCATTGGCTCATGAATCCTCAAGACAGTGCCGTACAGTTGAGTTTCTTGAACCGCTCCGCCATACTTGTCAGAGAAAGCTGCCCAGTGGAAGAGTCTCGCTACAGTAGCATCTACCTCCTGACCAGCCTTTTCCTTACTCTCGCCTGTCAATGTTATTAAGTGGTTGACGAACTCTTCGCGTCGCTGTTCCAGATTTTCGGCCCAGTAGAAGAGAATCTGGGAGCGATTAAAGCCACTGCGCTTGTCCCAACCCGGCTGTGCCTTGCTGGCTGCTTCTACTGCATTACGAACATCCTTCCTGAAAAAATAAAGAAGACCACATGTAAATATCTAGAAGCAATAAATTTCTTAAATCTCAAAATTTCCTTAAAATTCAAAATTTCCACCATATCAAGAGTAACTTTTCTATTTTCAAACACATCTTGTTCAAAATGGCACACTAAATGGGGGGAAACAAGAGGCAGTTGTATCCCACTGTGAAATACTGTACAATGTCTACAAAAATATTTAAACCTTTTTACATGACTTTTAGCAAAAACATAAGTCAAACTTTAAAAAAAAAGAAAAAAAAAGTCAGCTTTAATATTTTACTATCACATAATAGTCTGTCATGTTTCCCTTAGATTTCAACACCAGTTGAAGTCAATTTGGTATAGATTCAACAAGTGGTTGGAAATAATTATGACTCATTTCCATTGAGCAGATCTGCTTGATCTCCTGCAGGCGAGGTTCTGATGATGTGTTCTGTGTTGACAGCTTGTGTTTCATAAAATTCCATGTGTTCTCTATTAGGTCTAGGTATGACGATTTTCTTGGTAAATCAAGTAATCAAATATACTTGCATATACTGTATTGTACTTCATGGTTTGTTTATTGGTGGCATAATGAGATAGCATGTTCAGCTCCTTTTGTAGCCAGACTTGAATTGTGTGTTCCAACGGTTGTGATTAGCTTTCTTTATTTCTGATGCAGGCGTTGATGGATTCGTCATCACCTCTTGTCTCATAAACACATTAGAAGCCTTGAAGATCTTTCTGGAGCTCCCATGACATGATTTTCTAGGTGAAACAGAATTGGCAAGAAAATTGTGTGGCACACACTACAGCATTAATTGTTGTTGTGCCTCTTCCCCAAAGGAGATTCTTCACCCAACAGGGCAAGAAGTGAGCAATTTTCTTTATCTGACTTGTTATTGAGACTCATGGTGACTGTTCTGAGAGAAAAAGATTGGGCTAGTATGGCAGTGTGTGTTTTTTCTGTTTTTAGAAAGTGGCAGAAACTGATGCAGCCACCCAAGGACACAGTTAAACACACTCACCATGTGGGAGTCACTTTCATAGAAGCCTGAAGCACCATTTAAACCAGCTTAAGAAGCATGCAACAGAGTGTTTAATTGAACCAAGAAAGAGCTGGAGGAGTGTATTATGGTCGGATGAGGCTACGTTTTCTGTGACTGGGAGTAATGGAGGGAGGGTGTACCGCCCCGCCCCCCCCCCACTGAGACGCGCACCTCCCACAGTACACAGTGAAGACTGTTAAGCACCCTGCCTCGCTAATGGTTTGGGCTTCCTTTACGTATTATGGTGTTGGTGAACTAGTAATCGTCCCTAAGAACCAGATGATGAATCAGTACAACTATCTTGAACTGCTCAGTGATTTCTTACCTGAATCATTTGATAAAGCTAAGCCAAGCCTTTTCATGCAGGACGGTGCCCCATGCCACACTGCTAAAAGTGTCATACAGTGGCTCAAAGACTGTGAGGTACCTTTCTTTAATGACTGGCCTAGCAGTAGCCCAGATCTTAACCCAATGGAAAATTTGTTATGCGTCGTCTGCGCGACGCTGACACATCATCAATCCCGAAGCCAGAGGCAGCCATCAAGGATACCTGGGCTAACTTGCCACCTGACCTCTTGCAAAACCTTGCTGACAGTGTTCCTCAAAGGCTAAAAGACTGTCTGAAGCGCAGAGGAAACACTACAAAGTATTAATTGAAGTGGTAAGTGTTACTTGACTTTATATATATATATATATATATATATATATATATATATATATATATATATATATATATATATATATATATATATATATATATATATATATATATATATATATATATATATATATATATATATATATATATATATATATATATATATATATATATATATATATATATATATATATATATATATATATATATATATATATATATATATATATATATATATATATATATATATATATATATATATATATATATATATATATATATATATACATATATATATTTCATTAGCCCAATAAAGCACACGGACTTCTACATACAATCAACACCGAACCTCCAGGATTAAACCCACGCCCACGAGCCGGATTTGGTAAAACGTTACTCTGACCACCTACGTGATACGGGTAGTCCCCATTAGAGGTTCACGGCGCCATAAGCTCGTTGAACAGGCTCTGTGTGAAATATAACAGAGTCTAGTACTACATTTAGTATCCTGGTGGTCCAGTAGGTAGCGTTCCTCCCGGTCACAGTCATGGGCTCGTGGGCCGTGGGTTCGAATCCTGGCATATATATATATATATATATATATATATATATATATATATATATATATATATATATATATATATATATATATATATATATATATATATATATATATATATATATATATATATATATATATATATATATATATATATATATATATATATATATATATATATATATATGTGCAAGTAAATCAATGTAGGTGCGCTTGATTCAGGTATATGCTGATAACTACAAGGTAAAAAGAAATAATTGTCCTAAGGGCAAACACATAAAGGAATATACATTTCTTTTACACAAAAATGTACTTCCACGTAAGCAAATGTTATTCGCAGCCATTTTGAAAACCTAACCCCCGCGAATTTGAAGGGCTTTCTGTATGCACCTACAAGGAACTGTATGTACATGGGGCGGGGGAGGGGAGGGGGAGATGGGTGAGGCCTGACAGGAATATTTTCAAGTATTCACCCAAGTGATAGTGACTGCTTGAAGGCACCTTGGTCAATATGTATCCTCCGAGTTCCAAGCTAAAGTTAATTGATTTATGTAAAACTTGTTGGGTTGCTCGGCATGACACTTTAGAGGTATTTCTCAAGCATTATGCAGCTGTTGTTAAAACTATGCCAAATATCATGAGGATGGAGATTCATGGATCTTAAGTTAATTTCTTAAACAAAATCACTGTTCCTTGCAATTATGCAAATTGAATTTCTCATGTCATTTACTGTATGTCGCAATTCACTTGTCACATTAGAACTCCCAGTCTATGCCTTGAGGGATGCACTATTGACATCTGCAGAGCAGATCAGAAATAAACAAAGTTATCTGTGTTACCTAACAATGTCATGGTGATATTGATCAAGTTGGTGACACATGATACAGAGAAACTCTTGCCTTAGCTGAATCAGTTAATGTCCCTAAACCATTGTACCTCGTCTAAACAGAAGGCAAATTATTAGATCTAATTGCCGGCAGTTTCCCCCAAAGAATATTTCATGTTGCACCATCACAATCCTTTCATTGACCATTGGCTATGTGAACTCAAAACTCATTTCTTGTGAGCTCAGCAATATGCCTTATTTTTAAGCCAGTCACTCTTTAGATTGCCAAATTTCTGCTGGGCTGCCACTTTCTTCTTGCTGAAGGTATCAGCTTTGGTCCGAGACTGAGGATTGTACTGCCAGTCAGCAAAAGCAGTACGTTTATCATCAATGAGTACTTTGATTGCCGGGCCATTTTCATCAAACCAATCCTGGTGTATTCTTTTGAACTGGCCGAGGGTCTCTCTGCAGGTCTTTGTCATAACAGTATTAACCCTTAAGACCAGGGTTAGGGTGCTGCTGGCAGTACCCCCCACGCGGGGTTAAATCGAGACAAAAATCAAATAGTCGGACGTTCTGGAACGTCACCCGGGGCCTTAGGGTTAAGGATACAGTAGAATGTCGATATAAAACGAGATACGTTCCAAGAGAGGTTCGCTTTAAACCGAATTCGCACTAAATCGAAGTGTTGTTTCAATAGAATAATTTAGTTTGATACTTGAGAGAAACACAAAATACTAAAAAGACTGAGAGTCTACCCAGATGCACCTCAGCCCATCTCCTAGAATACACAAAACATTGTTTTTTGTAGTATTATGTTAAAACAAACACTCATAAATCAACACAGCTAAAATTATGGGACGTGAAATGGTCTGTTTACTTGCAATCAGCTGATGAGAAGATGGGGGGGGGGGGTTGATATGTTTGACAGTTGAAGCCAAGGTCTAGTGCTTATTCATTTATCTGTCCTTAAGAATGACTAAGTTTTTATCTGATAAAATGTCACTAAACTGACATGGGAGAACATAAGTAACATTGCTGGAATTCTTATAAGATAGTGATTAATTTGAATATAAACATGCTATAGCTCGCATTAGACATACAAATTTTAGTTCTAATTAAAATGGCTAAAATTTTTATATTTTGTGCAAAATATATGATGTTCATATTCAAATTATTTGCTGTCTTGCAGGGATTTTAGCAATGCAAATTATATTCTCCTAACTTTGGTCTGTGATATTATATAAAATAAAAACTTAAAGGGAGGGAGGGAGGGAGGGAGGGGACAGTGACATGTTCGACAGTTGGGGGCTGAAGGTTAAGTGAAGTATGTATTTGTTTATTTGTCATTTAGATTGAGTTGTTGTTTTTTTGCTTATAAAATGTCACAGAAGTGACCGGGGAGAATATAATTTACATTGCTGGAATTCTTATAAAATAGTGATTAATTTGAATATAATCATGCTATAGTTTGCACTAGACAAAAATTTTAGTAATCATTTCGTACATGTACAGTACAGCTTTGCCCTTTGGACAGTGTAGCATGCCCAGAGAAACATTAGGCTCAAATTTTAAAATATGATGCGCCAGATTGACCCGCTAATCCCCCCACCCAAAGATGGGTGACCTGATAGTTCATCAGAAGGTCAGTTACATGAGACCCACTAATCCCCCCACAGCTCCAAGGGAGTAGAAAATATCAGTCTTTGCTCTAACACAGAAATTCATTTATGGCCATATCATATAGATTTTTAGTTTGTAAATACAGTATATTTATTTAACCAAACTTTTAGATAAACTATTCTGAATTATTCGAGTAAAGAAATGGAATTTCAAACTTAATTAGAACTGCTTTTACAGAACTCCGGTAATTTAAATTCTTGGAAAACTTTCCCTACCACCCAGAAACATTCTGAGGATGTGGGCTAGTGTCTGTCTGTGTAAAATGCGTAGTTTAGACACTCGGAAACATTTCCAGGTAATCGGTGAAATTTCAGGGAATGGGGAATTTTTCCATCCTCGAGAAAGTCGTCCGGTTAACCGGAAATCTCTCAACCCGGAAGAGCTGGACACCTATTGTTCCGGCTAACGGGGATATCACTGTAGTGAAGAACTGTGACAGGTTCTACATATAGCTGGGGAAGTAACTGCTTCTATATATATATTCTTTTGCAATCACTGAATCTATATGACAAGTGGGCTGCCAGGAGGAACCAGTTTTCTATAAACAAGAATTACCCACAAAACTCATGACCATAAATCAGGTTATCATCTCAATGCTGAAAACTAGTACATGTAACAGATAGTGTTGCTTGAAAACTTTATCTTTACTAACTCTATGAGGGAAAGATCTTAACTTATGATCTCCAAAATTGATGATCCTTAATAACTGACCTGTTACTTTCTCCAACAAGAGCAAAAGCTTTTCCTTCAGCATTATTAATCACACGGCAATAGTTGCCGTCAGGACGCTTCTGAGCCCCGCCATAATAAAGCTTGTATGTTCGATCCACCTGAGGCAGTGTTCCATCAGCACTAAGAACCTGCAAGTTTTGAATGAAACATTTGTTAAAACAGTATGAATTAGTTACAGGCAGACCTTACAATTTCGTGCTAATTGGCATGCCACCGTGATCAAATTTTTGATAGGCAAAGATTTGTGGAAAAAGCATTAAAAACACAGTTAAATTTGCTAATTATCTGTTAAAAACTAAAGCTAGTTGTAGAAAAAACTTTATTGTTTCAAAACTACACACCAATGGGATATTTATTGGATAGTTCTTTAACACTTATTCCACTCCATATAAACGATGTGGTTCAGAGTTAAAAGATTTAGTGAGCACATGGTTAGCATTATGTCAACAAATTTCAAACTGCAGATGTAAAAAATGAAGAAAAACTGCTATGATAAACAATAAAATTGATACAGTAAACAGTATAATAAAAATCAATACAGCACATGTCGTATGTACAAAAAATAGCTCTTTCCACACTCAAAACATCTCCAGGCAACACGATCCAGTTCAGCCAGGGAGTCAACCAGCTGACTCACAGATGTGTGGCTGCCACATTGCAATGTGTGTGCCATAACATCACATTGGCAGGCAGCACGGCCATGCAGTTATAGCCCACTGCCTCCACACACGTCCACTTCCCACATATACACATTCATGCTCTCTTCACTTTTCTTATTTTATAGTTTTACATTATACAGTATTTTCTTTATTTCTAAGCCTCGTCATTTATATATAGACCATGGAACAACCCTTAGAGTCTTAGACCATCCTGCCCCCCTCCCCATCTGAGGATTTTATGGGATGATGATTCCCATACACCCAGTGCCGGATTTAGACCTGTGGTGGCCCATGGGCAGCCTCTTTGTGGAGGCCCCCCTCATTATAACTACCCAAGAGGGTGGGGTGGCAAGTGAAGCGAGCCTAAACATCTGGGAGTTCCGGGGGGCGCTGTAAGCCCCCCGGGAAAATTTTGAAATTTGAACACTTCTTTGGAGAATTTTGAAGCCATATGCAGTTATACTGAGGAAATTAGAACATTGAGAAATTTTTAATTAACTGTATATTTATTGATAGTGTTCAAATTCCCAACACACACACACACACACACACAAAAGTGATAGATAAACATGAATTTTAAAGAATGAAAATAAAAATAATCCAAATGAATAAACAAATAAATAGAATATCGTATTATGTGGAGGCCCCTGGGCAGCTGCCCACTTTGCCCACTCCTGAATCTGGCCCTGCATACACCTTGGCCTTTTAGTTATTGAATTCAGGTTGTCTGACAAAATTCAAGATCTGGGTGTGGCGACAGTACACATTTGAAGTTAAGTTCTATCCAAAAGCTGACCAGTTCTACATGGGATGATGACAGTCAGTTATATTTTATTATATTATTACATTCTTATTAATCATATACATTCATATTAATATATCATTACATACATATAATATATTTTTATATTGGAGTCCATTGTAGTCTACTAGCCTATATCTTTCCAAGTTACTTACACTTTGATCAAACTATTTAGAGGTTTTGTAGTAAGATTGAATATATTCTTTGTTAAAATAACTGTTGTTTATTTTCTGTGTATATTGTATATATAATTATATATATATATATGGTATATATACTGATATGCACCTGTTGGAAGGAGAAACACACTCTATTGTGTTCCTCAAAGCTTCCTCAAAACAAAAACAACTACTCTTAAATGGAAATGCTTTGTTCCAAGTACAAGTGACCATACCTACCACATTAGGGGAACTATCACAGAGTCTATGTGAACAGCTTCCAAAAGAACAAAATTTGGATTTTATAATCGATTTCTCCCATCCTCTTCCAACCAAGAGTATTCAAAGAGATGGAAGAGGTTCATCCACGGCATATTTGATCAAAGGTCCAATGACAAAGATCTATAGAAACTGGATAAGTTTCTTGTCAAATGACAATAACAAGCAAAGCCTTTCCTGTTTCCTTCTGAACGAATGGAAAAATGACAAATATGCACAGAAGCTACTGGGCAGAAGACCTTTTTGGAAGATGTTAAGTAGTTGAGTTCCATGCAAGAGGAAGCAGACACTGCCTGCACATTGCAACTTACAGTTCATGTCATGAAGTGTAAGAGGATGCACCTGGGTCATACCAACAGTAAGGAGGTGTATCCCATGTCCCAACGGGACAAAGAAATTACATTAATAGAGACCGATTGTAAAAAGGACCTGGGTGTCTATGTTGGCAACGAAATGAAGTTCTCGGACCATTGTGAGAAGAAGGTGAATCAGGCATACCACTACCACCAACCACCACACATAACACCAGCATCATCACCATGACCACTACCACCAACCACCACAACCACCACACATAACACCAGCATCATCACCATTACCACACTACCACGGTCCACCACGCATAACACCAGCATCATCACCATTACCACTACCACCATCCACCACAACCACCACACATAACACCAGCATCATCACCATTACCACTACCACTGTCCACCACAACCACCACACATAACACCAGTGAATCAGGCATACCACTACCACCAACCACCACACATAACACCAGCATCATCACCATGACCACTACCACCAACCACCACAACCACCACACATAACACCAGCATCATCACCATTACCACTGTCCACCACAACCACCACACATAACACCAGCATCATCACCATTACCACTACCACGGTCCACCACGCATAACACCAGCATCATCACCATTACCACTACCACCATCCACCACAACCACCACACATAACACCAGCATCATCACCATTACCACTACCACTGTCCACCACAACCACCACACATAACACCAGCATCATCACCATTACCACTACCACCAACCACCACACATAACACCAGCATCATCACCATTACCACTACCACTGTCCACCACAACCACCACACATAACACCAGCATCATCACCATTACCACTACCACCGTCCACCACACATAACACCAGCATCATCACCATTACCACTACCACGGTCCACCATGCATAACACCAGCATCATCACCATTACCACTACCACCATCCATCACAACCACCACACATAACACCAGCATCATTACCACTACAAGCCATATCACTACCACCATTCACCACAGCCACCACACATAACACCAGCATCATTACCACTACAAACCATATCACTACCACCATCCACCACAACCAGTATCACATTGTCTGTTAACACTTTTAATATATCTTTTTCAAGTGATATAGTTAACATTTACAAACTTCAGTAACTTAGGAGTTTAAATTACCACTAACTTCTATGCTAAAATGGTGTTATACACATTCTCTACCTCGCTAGGACTATACTTTCTACATCTTATGCTAGGTTAGTAAAACAAAATTTAGGAAAAAAAAAATGTCCTATTATGTACACAGCTGGATATTGACAGTACAGTATCAGCAAAATTATGTGTGCAGAGAAAGGCTGAGATGATTTGGGCTTGTGGAGATAATAGAGGCGACCAAATGGGCCAAGAGATACAGTAAGTCCTCGCTTAACATCGGGGTTGCGTTCCTGAAACTGCAACGTTATACGAAACAGTGTTAAGCGAATAAATTTTCCCCATAAGAAATAGATAAAATACGGGAGTTACGTTCCTGAGCCTTGCTTTGCCCCATGAAATACATTACATACACAGAAAATCTTTGCCATTTCTATACAAAATAATGCATACATATACAACTTGTAAGTTTGTATTGGTACTCACCGATGGGCGGAGGTGGCAGAGCGAGTGTGTGGTGGGTAGTGAAGCAGAGGAGGAGGGTGGCGAGTCACTGAGACTCTGCGGCTTCCTCCGCCTCCTCCTGTTCTGACTGGGGTTTCTCGGCCACTGTTTGCTCCTCCTCCGTTGTTGTTTGCTCCTCCTCGGCTGCTGTGTGTTCCTCCTCGGCGGCTGTGTGCTCCTCCTCGGCTGCCGGCTGTTGTGAAGAAGCTCCTGCCGTCCCGTGACGAACAAATTAATTCAGTGTTGACTGCTTGGTGCCACTCTTCTTCTCCTTATAGATCTCAGTGTAACAACCAAGACTTTCATCAAAGCTGCGTTGAATCTGTGAGCTACGTTCTCTGTTTGGGTCATTATCTACAGGGATTTGCATTCCTTGCTGGATCATGTTGAACACATCTGCCATCCTCTTTGAAGTTGGTGTTCATTGAGGTTCTTCGTCGTCAACGGGACTGTGTTCTGTTAACAGTTGCAGATCTTCGTTGGTGAGCTCTTCTGTATGGGATGCCAGGATGTCCTCAATATCCTCTGATTCCAGCTCATCAAAGCCTGCCTGTCTAGCCAAGCTGAGGATATCCCTATTCACAGGTAGGACTAAGTCCGTGAATCCCGTAAAACTGTTGACACACTCAGGCCACAGTTTACGCCACACACCATTCAGGCAACTTTCTGAAACCTCTTCCCATGCCTTGCCAATGTTGTCAATTGCATGAAAAATGTTGAAGCCACGCCAATATTCTCGGATTGTTGGTTTATTTTCTCCGTCTGTAGCCTTGAGCAGTTGGGCCATGGTACGGCATAATACGCCTTGAATGCGGCGATGACGCCTTGGTCCATAGGCTGCATCAGTGCTGTCGTGTTGGGAGGCAGGAATACAACTTTTACACTGTCATGCAAGTCGTCAAGATTGGGAGGATGAGCAGGAGCATTGTCAATGATTAGAAGAATTTTGAAGTCAACGTTCTCCTTGGCACAGTATTCTTTCACTGCAGGGACGGCGTACACATGTAGCCACTGGCTAAATATGGTGCCGGTTATCCATACCTTTTTGTTTGCCTTGTGGATCACAGGAAGGTGGTCCTTGGAGTAACCTTTCAGGGCCCGTGGGTTGGCAGCACGAGAAATCGGCATAGGCTTCAGCTTGAACCAAACAGCAGCGTCAAGTGATCTTTTGCCACTTTAAAGCCTGGCGCTATTTTCTCCTCCTTGGAGATATAGGTCCTCTCAGGCATCCTCTTCCAAAAGAGACCGGTCTCATCCACACTGAAGACTTGCTTCGATGAGTAGCCTCCTTGCTGGATAATCCGTTTGAATTCAGGCGGGAATATCTCGGCAGCAACCATATCTGAACTGGCAGCTTCACCGATCATCTCTATGTTGTGGAAGTTATACCTGCACTTAAATCATTGAAACCATCCTCGGCTGGCCATAAAGGTCTCTTCCTTCGATCCTTCACCCTCAGTTTCCTTCATGTCGTCAAACAAGGATCTGGCCTTTGCTGGATAATCATAAGGCTCACAGGTGCATTGCATTGATTCTGTTCCTCCATCCACATAGCCAGCATCTTTTCCACTTTTTCTATCACAGTGCTTCTGGTATGAGTTGTTTTAGTTGCACTGAGAGTAGTACCTCTTGAACTGCCCACTTCCAGCACTAACCTTAATCTTGTCAGCGTTGGTCCGGATAGTACGCACCGTTGTGGGGGTTAGACCTAGCACAGCGGCTATGTCCACAGCACGTTCCCCTTTTTCAAATCAGGTTAACACATCCATTTTCGTAGCAAGGCTAATGGTCTTACATTGCCTCTTCACTACACTATTATCAGTAGCACTTGATGGGCGCTTGGAAGACATTTTGAATGGTTAGAGTACAGTGTTATAGCAAATGCACTTGAGCACAGACGAATGATGTGAAGTAGTAAAAATGATTAGCTTAGCGTCACTTGAGGACGCTGTGATGTTCTGCGAGTGAGGACAGCACCCCAAGCCAAGAGGCGTAGCGCGGCCAGACGAGAGCGGGTGATGCGCCGTAAGAAGTAGTCCGTGGCGACGCAAAATGACATTGTACCTAGTCACCTGGATGTTAAACAAATTTTTGGTATCTAAAGTTTAGTGACATAGTACCGAAACAATATTAAGCGGGCCGACGTTAAGCGAGGACTTAGTGTACATGAGTTTGAATTCAGAGGAGAGTAGAGCTAAGGGTAGGCCAAGAATGACTTGGGGAGACATAAAAACCTGGCATTGAGCAAGTCAGATTCTTGTGACTTCTCTTTCACTTAACCTGAAGTGATTTACATCTCAGGTCATTCATAAGTCTCATCAGGTCAAACTTGGAAGAGTGATCCTTGAAATCTTAATTCTGTGGCAGCAGAGATGAACAAATTACTTGGGCTGTTTCCTGAATTAGCTGGGACTGAGAGATGGATAGTAAAATCTTGTGTGATTTTTAAGGGTTTGAGAAGAGTGTTCTTGAGGTGAGTCTTTGCCTCCACATCCTCACTGGCTCTCTAAACATACATTTTCACCCCCCAGGCCCTGATGTGGGTCAGTGACCTGTGCCTGGGTGGGCTAATCCCCTTAAAAAAAAAAAAAGGCACCTTTATCTAAGGAACTAAATTTGGAATAAGACACCAAACACAGACACTAAGCTCTTCATGAATACTCTACAGTACAGTATTTAAGTTCATAATACATACTAGCATAAGGTCCTCATTGTATAATATGGACACGAAGTAGTACCTTAAGCTGTGTATTCTTATATTACTCTATTAATTATGTATAGTAAAGTATTACAGAACATGTATTAATCCTATGTAATATTTCCATTAATTATGCACCATGTTATGTATGTGAATTATCATATTTACATTTTATGTATTCAGCTTGTGAATGCTGGCATCTGTACATGCCAGCGAGGAGTGATACAGAGAGTGGAGATCGCTAGTCCTTGTGGTGTGGAAGCCAACTGTCTATTAGTTCCTCTGTATATCTCCCATACGAGAATAAGAACCTATTTTCAAGATAACAAGTGTTTGTGTATACCCTCAGTAGTGTAGAACATTTTGGGGGTATCAAAGACAGACATAGACTCATGAGAAAGTATCAACAATAAATGTGAAATAACAAATATATTCACCTGAGGAGTGGCTGCAGTGATGGAAGGTCGGTCAGCCATGTAAGATGCACCAAATTTGCTCATATCTACATCAGGTGTCACAAAATTCAGACGACTTTGCCATGACGGTTTGACATATTCAAAGAGACCTGTGAAAGAGCATAATTGTCTATAAAAATACATATTCCTTTATATTTGACATATACATACATATAATAATACTGAAAACATCTACACTATGCCATCATCATTTAGCCTCACTTTACAGTCATACATTTCAAGAATCATGTGAAATACAGTTATGTGCCATCAATAACAATAACTGACACAAGTGTCATTCCATAGCCCTGTTCACGCTTATGTTTATTCCAAATCACTATAAGAGCAACCATTATTTTCCTACAGCATCTCGTGTTGTACTCTCAAGACTTTCGTGTTTCTGTGTGAAATGGCCCCTAAAAGACTGCCTAGTGTCGGTGCTAGTGATGCTAGTGGAGTAAAATGTAAAAGGCAGAAGTCAGTGATGACCCTGACAAAGAAAGTTGAACTATTAGAGAAGTTAAAGAGGTGATGAGTGCTGCTGCAGCTGGTCGGTTGTTTGGTAAAGGTATATAGTAGTGCACTAAGGCAATATAAGTTGCTATTCAGGTTTTACCTCTTCACACCTAACCCCTGTGGTTCATCGAGACATGCTGACCACTTTTCTTACGACATGTAAATTCTAATTTCCCATCCATCCCATAGCTATTATGCTTCTTCTTAGCCACTCAACCACCCTGCATCGGTTTGGAACTGATTGCTACAAATACAGTCTACCAATGTCACCAAAGACACAACAAAGTTGATATTTATAGTTTTTGGGGCACTTCAAAGACTGACGGATTTCAGCCGTAAAATCCTCTTAACTGCAGGAACTTTTTACATGCAGGTCCACAATTATATGACCACTTAAGTGGTAAACCACTTATAATGAAGACTTTTATAAAGAGACTCCCTGAATATTCTTCAGTATTTTTCTTATATTGATTAACCCATTTATATAAGGTAACAATGGATTAAAAAAGAAGTGTTTTTTACTAAATATGTCTGTTGGGGGGAGGGGGGTTTGGTGGGTCTTATAACGCCCGGGTTCTAAGGATTAAACTATCCATCCAGGAATGAACTCGTAGCAATGGTTTTAAATTAGACAAATTTAGAATTAGATGCAAGATAGGTAAACACTGGTTTGAAAATAGAGTAATTGATGAGTGGAACAAGTTACCAAATATCATTAACTCGAACACGCTGGGTAGCATCAAATACAGGTTAAACAGATATATGAGCAATAGGGGTTGGGTGTAAACGGGACTGTCCAGTATGGGCCAATAGGCCCGCTGCAGATTCCTCCATTCTTATGTTCTATATAACAGGATCTGGCGAGAGGGTAGCTTCCCATCCTCAAGGTGGGAAGCTACTGTCCTGCCTTTCAAGAAGACTGGCAAAGATGGTCTTCACCTGCTAGAATATCGCCCCATAGCTCTGACTTCCTGCATGTCAGTGGCTGAATGTTGCATGCAACTTGTACAAGACAAGGTTTCTCATTGTACCACAGAGCATGGTTTCAGATTTTCTCCCTTGAAGACTGTTGCCAAACATTTCTGCCGCCAATGAGGTGTTACCCAAATCTCGATCTACAGCTCTATGGTCGTCGTGTGCGGTGTGTCACAGAGACCCATTTCCTGGGCATAATCTTCAAAAACCGGCTTACGTGCCAGCCACATATTCAAAGAGTCTTGCCAGCATGCTCTCAAGTTATTGAGGGTCTTGGGGCACAAGTTGTGGGGTGCTGACTGAGGAACTCTGCTACACCTTTACCACATGCAAGTTAGACCCAAATTGGATTATGGGTGTGAGGTGTACTTTAGGTCCTTGCCAATCCCAAGTCTACTGGTGGATGCTGATGAGCCACCCCTCGATCTTTGACGTCCGAACTTCCACGTCCAGTGCTGGTTTCGCCTCCACCACCGTCCACAGTCTGTCACCAACACTTTTGTAGTTGACGAGAATATGTCCCCACACTACACTCAGCATCCAGGTCTTCCACAAACTTTCGGCTTCAGGGTAAGGGAAGTTGTGAGTTGTGTCTTCTTTGCATTCCTCCTTTTCAGAAATGTCTCATGTGGTTACTTAGTGCTGCTCTGTGGATTCTCCCTGAAGTTCAAGTTTGTCAATATTTTAACGAAACGAAGAACTTACTCCCTCCCTGTGTTGTTCATTCTCTTTTTTTTGTGCATGCCTCCTCTCACAGAGGGACTATCCCTGTTTACATCGACGGCTCTAAGTCAGATGCAGGGGTAGGTTTTGGGGTGGCCATTCCCGACTTCTGTCAGGATGGTAGTCTCCCCACTGTGACACTTATTTTTATGGCACAGCTTTCTGGCATTTTACTTGCCCTTAAGATTATTTTTACCCAACTTCATGGTGATATTAAAAAGTTTTGTGACTCTCGTAGTACTCTTCCAGCCTTAGCTAGTGTCTCATCACCCCATCCCTTCGTTATAGATATTTTACAGATGCCATTTCTCATTCAGCGTTGGGGCCAAAAAGTAATTTTTTGTTGGGTTCCGGTCCATGTGGGGGAGAAGGGGACTGAATGTGCTGATGCTGTGGTGAAATCAGCTGCTTCTCACCCTGTGGCACATCATTCTCCTCTACCTCCCTCTGATATCAAGCCAATAATAAGAGCTGCCATCCACTCAAGTTGGCAATCCAGGAGGGATACTGTCGGAGCAAACAAGCTCCAGGGCATCCACCCTGATTTGGGTGCCTGGGGATATTAAGGACTGTCATGCCACTGGAAGACTACAGCTGTTCCTCGACTTACGACGCGGTTAGGGACCCAAATCCAGGTCTTAAGTCGAATTGGTCGTAAGTCGGAAATGCTTAAATAATACATAGAAAATCTAAAATGGGTCTCTTTTTCTTCTCAGCACCACAAAACTCTCACTTTTAAGCTTGCCAGCCATTTTAAAGTGAATTACAAACAAAAATTTTGTCAGTACACAGCGCAATCACTAACGTCGGGAATCGAAAATACGTAATTTGACAAAATTTTGGTACGACTGAGGCGGTCGCATGTCCGGGTGGTCGTAAGTCGAGGAGTAGCTGTACTTTGATCCGTCTCCACATTGGTCACACACGGCTGACTCATGGTTTTTTAATGGAGAGGGCACGCCCTCCCCTTTGTGATGACTGCCTGGTCCCATTGACTACTTGACACCTCCTGGTGAGTACCCCAGTCTCAGAGATTTTCATTATAAGCACCTCTCCCAGTGCCATGGGGGACGGGGAAATGGGTCTTACCATCTCTCTTTGGTGCTGGGAGAGGAGTGGGTAGCGTGGGAGGTGACGTAACTTCCTTTGTGGAGGAAGTCAACCTTCTACACAAGCTCTGAGTTTTATCTATTAAGATTTAAATGGTTTCTATAAGAGTTCTGTACTATTTATTATTAATATTTTTTATCTCCATTTTTTATTTTAGTTTTCTAAGCTTTCATTTTAATTAAGTGACACATGACCTAAGCTTTAGCATCACCAGAAATGTAATTACAACAATCACTCAACATATAATGCACAGTGCTAAAGGCTAACTATCAAATTAATTTTTGAGAAAAACGGATTTCTTTAACACTTACTCCACCCTATATAAACGATGTGACTTACTTTTTGAAGAAAATAGGATATAAAAACATAAAATAAGAAAAATTTAGAGCATGAGAGTGTATGTGGGAAGTGAATATTTATGGAGGCAGTTCTAGCCAAGGCCTTGGCTAGAACTATATTGCCGACTCACCAGCCCAGCTGCCTTGTATATTGTTATTTATAATGAAATTATAAAAGTTGTGGAAAAATCATTAATATTCAGTATAGTCTCGGTTTACGCGGTCAATTAAACCCGTGGAGGTCCGCTTAAAACGAGAAATGCGAAACGAAATAACAGAACATATGGGATTAATTGAAATAGAGACTGGGCCGACCCCCAAACTCCACTTTTTCAGACACAATACGCACGTTGTAGCAAAAATAACATCTTAATTTTATGATGGTATGCACACACAATTAATATTTAAGAGAAATATCAATAATATTAGGTTTTTTAACACTTACATTTGTAGAAGAGATGGCTGGGCACACGGGGATGGGGGGTTGGTTCCGAGGCAGAGGGCAGATTATTGGCCCTCACCTGTATCACTTGTATCTCTATCCACCACAGAGGCTAGCAGGGCCTCCTTGTCAAACCCCTCAAAGTCCATATCCTCACTATCACTGACTTGGGCTGGCTGTGGTGGGTGAAGAACTCGGTAATGTTTTGTTGACTGGGCGACCTTGTGTGCACCCTGCCCGTGCCGCTTCCCGCGTAAATGATGAAATGAACCACGTAACTAATAATTGCCGGTCTGGTCAGGTGCCGCATAAATGACCTAACGCGTAAAGGAAATCCGCGTAAATCAAGACTATACTGTACTCTAATGTGGCTTAGAATAAAAAAAATATAATTTAACCCTTAACCCTTAGGGCCCGGGCGACTTTCCAGAACGTCCGACTAGCGTGCCCCGAGTGACGTTCCAGAATGTCCGCCTATTTCCCCGCCATTTTTTTGTTTTAAATATTTTTCTTTTTTTCTTTATTATTATTTTTTTTTTGGAAAAGTTGACTTTTTCTTGATTTATCCCCACACGCGGGGGTACTGCCAGCAGCACCCTTACCTGGGGCTTAAGGGTTAAGCCGGGTTACGGTGCTGCTGGCAGTACCCCCGCCCCCCCCTGGGATAAATTGAGAAATAAATAAACTTTTCCATAAAAAAAGAAAAAAAAATGACGGGAATAGGCGAACATTCTGGAACGTCACCCGGGGCCTAAGGGTTAAACTATAAAATATGAAAAAATTAAGAGCATCAGTGTATATATGGGAAGTGAATGTGTGTTGAGGTGGTGGGTTACTGGGCTATAAAGAGGGCAGCTGCACTCCCTCCCGAGGTGACATTATGGCATACACACAGCCAGCGTGGCAGCCAAACATCTGCAAGTCAGCTGGTTGACTGCCTGAACTGTGTCGCGTCGCTCAGAGGATGGTTTCAGTGTGGATGAAGCTATCTTTTGTACATAATATGTGCTGTTGTATTTTATGATGTGTTATGTATCAATTTTATTGTTTATCATACCAATATATAATGCAGCTCATCCCTGTTGTGTGTGGCTATTCAAACTTATGATTATTGCTGATTTTGGAGGAATTTTTATTATCATTTCATTTTGGTGCCGGTTTGCTGAATCTGCAAGATGCCCGGATACCTGATACTGGGATTCTACAGTATATACTCATATAATTACATGGTATAAAACATAGAAGCAGATGTTCTTTGCTCAACTTACCTTCTTTGCCTCCGTCTCTCCCATAGCCACTCTGCTTATAACCACCAAATCCTGCAGCTGCATCAAACATATTATGACAATTGATCCAGACAGCACCTGCCTGTAAAAAAAAAATCCTATAATTTCTTAAAATTGTAATACATAATTAAAACTGAGGTTAAAATTTAGACATGAAGGAGTGATCCTGAAATCACCAATTATGGTGAAGCCCAAAGCCAGGTAGCTTTCATATATAAGGCAATGTACTGTACTTGGAGGTACTGAGTCTACAGACTTGGCCCCCAGCACTAGTCAAGTTTATTCTGCTAATCCATTTAGGATATACTGATCACCTTTCTGCTCCCAGGTGTTGCCTGCCTTGTATGAGAAAACTGGTACTCCCCCCCCCCCCACCCCAAGAATTGGGAAGGGTGAAGGTCTTGTACAAGCCATGACTGCCTTATCAGTCATCACCACATCAAAAAAAAAAAAAAATGCAGTTCTAACCTAACTTGATCTGACTCAATATCAGGTTGAGGTAGGGTGGGGGAATAGTGGGTCTCATATTACTGACCTTCTGATGGAATGTTAGGTCACCCTTTCTAGGGAGGGGGATTAGTGGATCTCATGACCTGAAGATGTCTTGAATAAACACAAAACCTAACACATTTTTATGGAGATTGTGATAAGTTTAAGTATAAATTAGCAAAGTTGTATCCCTTCAACATTACATTACATAAAATTTTAAAATATGGAGTGAGAAAGCAGAAAGGATTAGTGCCAAGTGCTCCTCAACAGCTAATATTTAATCTTACAGTCACATGAATGGCTGGAGCTAGTGGGAGGAGAACCTTTTTGAGGGGAGAGGTAGTGAGGGTCTTGAGGTCACTTTTCTCCCTCCTTCCTAACTCAAGTGTGGCTAATTGTGATAGGGAAATGAATTTGATACCATAATGATCCACAATAAATTCTCTATAAGACATTTCCAATATGATATCCTTAAATGACAAGCCAAATAATAAGGTAAAAATAAGTATTGTACTGTATTTGAAGGATACTGGTATTAGTAAACTCAAATTATAACAGTAAGACTGACAGTTGTACAGGTTTGGTTTTGCCCCCCAAAAAAAACATTTACCTTGGCCCCAAAGTGGTCCGCCCATTTTCCGAAGGCTAGAAACGCCACTGGATATGAGACCACTAATCCCCTACCCTACCTCCACCTGACATCCATATCATAAAGATTTTAAATTTTCAAATATATTTATTTTAGCAAACTTTTAGATAAACTATTCTGGATTATTATAGTGTAGTAAATAAATGGAGTTTCTAACTTAATTAGAACTGCATTTAAAGACTCTGGTAGTTTAACCTCAAGGAAAACATCCCCAGCACCCAGAAACATTCTGGGGAAGTGGGGTAGTGTCTGTCTGTGCAAGAGGTCTAGTTTAGACAATTGGAAACTTTTCCCAGTACAGGTAGTTCTCCTATAACGCGATAATTGTGTTCATGTAAAATATCGTGTTATAGAAAATCGCGTAATAGAAATAACAGGGCTTATGGAGAAAATAGGGTTAGGTGAAGATTACTCGAAATCGAAAACTTTAGTAGTTAGCCTAATACAAAGGATAGCACAGTCTAAATAAATGTTACATTCATATCTAATAATGAAATCATACAGTAAATGTAACACTTTAGTTGATGGGGGAGAAGGGTGATTTTGAGGTTGATAAAATCGAGCTTCTCTTCAAGTGTTATATCCTTTCTTTTACGATCATCACCGGGAATTCTATCACCAGAACGCTTCTCGTTGATATTCTTTACTATATTCACAGTTAATACAGTGGGGTATGCTATAACGAACGAAACTCCTACAACGAACATTATTTAATTTTTTGTTTGTTTTTTTCTAATTTATTGTTTTTTTATTACAAATATTAATGATATTCTTTATTTCAAGGGTTTAGATGCATATTTATGCACTTTTTTACAATTTTTACAATTTTATATTATATTTTTCAGTGTTAAGTGGTTGTATTTGGGGGCCTGGAACGGATTAATCCTATAACGAACGAATGCTATAACAAACAAGGTTCTAGAACCAATTAGATTCGTTATAGCATACCCCACTGTACCACAAAATTGGAGAAATTGTAAGCAAAAATCGCGTTATAGCAAACAAGCGTTCGCGTTATACAAATATCGTTCCTAATTCATAAATCGCGTTAGAGCAAATTCGCGTTATCAAAACACGCGTTATAGCAGAACTCACTGTACTGTAGCTGAAAAATATTCTGGGGATAAGGAAGTTTTACGAGCTTGAGAAAGTCAGCTGGTTAGCCAGAAATATCTCATTCCCAGAAGTGCTCTGCACCAATTGTTCCGGCTAACGGGGATATCACTGTTGAGCCAAACGTAAGAAATTTTTTTACGCTAATGTGGAATTATTGCTCTGGACATGGATGGAAAACCAGTAATAAAGAACAGTACTACTACAACAACAACAACAACAACAACAACAACAACAACAACAACAACAACCGCAACAGCAGCAGCAGCAACAACAACAACAACAACAACAACAATAAACTTACTTTGATCATTTTGGCAGTTTCAATGGCAAGAGTCAACTGCTCTGAGAAGACTGAAGCACCCAGCCCATATATGGTGTTGTTTGCCAATGATATGGCCTCTTTGGCAGTTCTGGGAAGTAAAAACCAACATTAATTTGCATTCCATCAACAGGCATCAAATACAAAGGATACTGGGTACTCATATGTGCCAGTGACTTTAATGCAGGAAAAAGCCCTCGACTCATCTAGTGTATATCCATTCCTTGGCTGGTCCTTATGACCAAGCCAGTACTGTTAAAGGTAGCTAATTTTTCTAGTGATCACTCGAAGGCATTCACCTCAGTCTTTTACTATTACATTACCTGTATTGTTATTCATCCCCACAGCACTGATCCCTGCATGTTCCTTCACCCTCAGTAACAAATTAATTGCATCATGGAAGTGTTTATGGGATGTTATCAAAGAATAATCAGCCAAGTGGGAGCTGAGAGGAAAGAAAACTGATGCTCCAGATGAATTCGATAAGTCACATGGTGGGCTGATGGATTCCATGTGGACAAGGTGTGCAGTACAGTACTTCAAGAATTTCTAGAGGCCAAAAAAAGGGCTATGTAGAAAATAATGCTGTTCATTACTCATAGAAAAAGGTAAAATTGTTAGATTGGAATCCACTCCGACTAATACAGAACCCAGTAGCACCTGCATAAGAAGTCAAAAGGGCTGAGGAGCTCTAGAAGGCCACTAACCTGGGAACTGGCAGGTTTCAACAAGATACCTTGCATTCAGTATCCTGCTTAAACACTAGCAAAAAGATAACTGGTGCTACAAAATATAATAAAGCACTGAACATTGCACTGGCAGACTGTAGTGACTTAATTGCTGCAGAAGGCAAATACAAATTTTTCGGTTTTCAGAGTTTTGGATAAAGGGTTGTCAACCTGTATCTTCAGTAAATAAACAAATTATATTTCACCCAGACACAATACGTTATGTACGTTGTAGTAAAAATAACATCTTAATTTTATAATGGTATGCACACACAATTAATATTTAAGAGAAATATCAATAATATTAGGTTTCTTAACACTCACTTAGTAGAAGAGATGGCTGGGTACATGGGGATTGGGGTTGGTTCTGAGGCAGAGGGCAGATTATTGGCCCTCACCTGTATCACTTGTACAACCTGTATCACTATCCACCACAGAGGCTTGTAGGGCCTCTTTGTCAAACCCCTCAAAGTCCATATCCTCACTATTACTATCAGTGACTTGGGCTGGCTGTGGTGGGTGAAGAACTCGATAATGTTTTGTTGACTGGGCAACCTTGTGTGCACCCTGCCCGTGCTGCTTCCCGCGTAAATGATGAAATGAACTGTGTAAATAAAAATTGTTTGCCTGGGCAAGCAGCCGCCAGAAATGACGCACCCGTGAAAACTAAATCACAGAAATCGTATATATATATATATATATATATATATATATATATATATATATATATATATATATATATATATATATATATATATATATATATATATACACACACACACACACACACACACACACACAGTATTACCACGCTTTACGCGGTTTCACTTTCCGCGATTTCTCATTTACGTGGTACCTCGCCAGAATCGGACTTTCACTTTCCGCGGTGCATCTACTCGTATACACGGGTGAAGTATAATTTTTTATTTAGCTCATAAAATTCATACAAATTACCCGGCCAGAATACAATTTACATTGCTGGAATTCTAACAATATGATATTCATTTTGAATATAAACATCATGGATTTTGCATTAGACATACAAATTTTAGATCTAATGTAATAATTTGGTTTACACAAAGCAAATATATTATGGTTGGTGCAAAATATATGAAGTTTACATTCAAAATATTCCCTAACCTGCAAGGAATCCAGAAATGTCAATTATATTATCCTAACTTTAGTCTGAGTAATTATTTATTGCTAAAAATGTAGATACTGATTTCTCCCAAACATTTCTCTGGTAGGGGGGGTTGGTACCGACCGACCCAGCTGGCGTGAGTGTGAGGAGAGGCAAGGTGGGGTACTTTGATTGATAGATAGTGTCGTGATGAATATTATCTTTTTTTTTATTAACTGAAGATATTTGTTTTAGCTCATAAAATTCATACAAATTACTCGGCAGAATATAATTTACATTGCTGGAATTCTTACAATATGATGATCATTTTGAATATAAACATCATGGATTTTGCATTAGACATACAAATTTTAGATCTAATGTAATAATTTGGTTTACACAAAGCAAATATTTTATCTTTTAAGCAAAATATATAAAGTTTACATTCAAAATATTCTCTGACCTGCAAGGAATCCAGAAATGACAATTATATTATCATAACTTTAGTCTGAGGTATTATTTATTACTAAACGTTAATATCTAGTGTTTTCACCCAAACATTTCTCAGAGAGGTAGGAGCCAGTGAGCCAGGAAGAGGGATTTGAGTCCATTATTTGAATGGACATTAACCTGGCGACTGTATTTCTCTTAAATATTAATTATGTGAGCATACCATCATAAAATTTAGATGTTATTTTTACTACAACATAGGTATTGTGTCGGAAAAGTGGAGTTTGGGGGTCGGGCCAGTCTCTATTGGAATTAATCCCATTGCTCTGTTGTTCACTTTACGCGGTTTTCACTTTCATGGCGGTACTCCGTGGGTTCACACAAAACTATACAGTGAACCCTCACTTTACGCGGTTAATTCAACCCACAGGGTACCACGGAAAGTGAGAAATGCGTAAAGTGAACAACATAACATATGGGATTAATTGAAACAGAGACCGGGCCGACCCCCAAACTCCACATTTTCAGACACAATACCAACGTTGTAGTAAAAATAACTTCTTAATTTTATGATGGTATGCACACACAATTAATAATTAAGAGAAATATCAATAATATTAGGTTTTTTAACACTTACATTTGTAGAAAAGATGGCTGGGCACACGGGGATGGGGGTTGGTTCCGAGGCAGAGGGCAGATTATTGGCCCTCACCTGTCACTTGTATCAATTGTATCACTATCCACCACAGAGGCTTGCAGGGCCTCTTTGTCAAACCCCTCAAAGTCCATATAAGTCCATATCCTCACTATAATTATCACTATCACTGACTTGGGCCGGCTGTGGTGGGTGGCGGGTGAAGAACTCGGTAATGTTTTGATGACTGGGCGACCTTGTGCGCACCCTGCTCGCGCCGCTTACACAACATGGCGGATGGCAGGAGAGGGCGAGAGAGATGGCGGGAGGTTTGGATCCAAAAATGGCGCGGCTCGCCAGCCGCTCTCCATGTAAAGGGGTATATGCACCGCGGAATGGGAGCATTCCGGTTTCGGCAGGGTACCGCGTAAACGTGGAAACGCGGAATGTGGGACCGCGTAAAGCGAGGGTTGACTGTATAAGACAATCTACTCAGAAATACCTTGGTATGTCCATTTTTTTTTTTAAGTGGGGTCTAGTTTAATTCCATGCCAAAAGAGGTTGGTTTAAGACTTATCAAGCGTTGCAGCAGCACTGATGAGCAAGCAGCATGTGAGCTTCCCAATACCTTGGAAACTATCACTGACCACAGCAAATACCCTTCCCAACTTGTATTCAACGTCAATGAAACTGGCCTCTTTTGGAAGTGAATGCCATCACACACAGTCATCTTCTGAAGAGAGAAGCTTGTGTGATGGTTTAAGGTCACCATAGAACAACTTAAGACTCCTAATGGGTGGTAATCTTTTGGGTGATTTCAACCTCATGCCCACAGTCATTTACCACGGAACATCAACCTGTCGTCTGCATCGCTAACAAGAAAGCCTGGGTGACAGCTGATATTTTCCAGCAGTTGTTTGTGTCTAATCTTCGTCCAGCCGTCAAGTGTTACTGAGGAAGATAGCTTGAACCATGACTGTTGCTGCATGACAAAAGCTTTGGGCCACAAGATAATCTAAGACTCTATATGGACTTTAGTGCCATAAAAAGGGGTCTTCTGCCACCAAACACCAACTTCTGTTCAGCAGCCAGGAGACCAGGGTGCCTTAGATAACTTAAAGAAATGTTGCCTTAGATACACATTCAGGCATCTGTTCAATACAAAAGATAGTTAAGAAAAGTCTTATAATATTTTGAAGACCATCATCAACATCAGCACAGCTTGGAAAAAGAAAGTCATTAACATCTATATGAAATGTGTGTGTGTGTGTGTGTGTGTGTGTGTGTGTGTGTGATAGATGTGGCCAGAGGTATACCACGTGTTCACAGGACATGAGGAGTCAAGCGAGGGACTACTGTATAACACTGTGCAGTTGGGAGATGAAGCTGGCCTGGAGGAACTCGGCATCGACCGTGTGAAGGAGCCACTGCAGTTCCATGGCGTTGTCCTGACTCATAAGGAACTATAGGAGTTGGAAAACAAAAAGTTGTAGACGAAACTCCACATACACGGAACTTGACCACAGCCAGGTTAACAGATGGCATAACAGAACCAATGAAGTCCTGGAAATGTTTTCAGAAAATGACAGAGATTTGGAACACAGCATTGCTGTAAAGAGGAAACAGCAGTCAATTCTATATGCCTTCATCAAGAAGTTTCTGAGGAGGGTTAACAAGAACCTAGCCCATCTTCATAGCAGTAGCTCCTCCAATCCCATTACCCACTGCAGTCTTACACTGCTATGAATGAATGTATTGGTAAGTGCCACACCATAAGTTAATGTGCTCTTATTTATTTTTTAATTTTGGTTCACTTTCCAAGCTAAGTTTACATTTTAGTGACTATTCCATTGTAATCATCAGCCAAAAAATTACAAACATACGATAGTGTATTTATGCACTTCCAGAGACAGTGGTAAGCTCTGAATAAGCAATTGTGAAAATATTATGAAACAGTATCAAACAGACTGTGTAGTGAGTAGTATAGCAAGTATGATTATGAGAAATTGACTTTCATGCATCAAATTACTCACTCTAACTTATGCAGAATTTTCTCTAATGAGGTTTCATAAAAAGAGGGATCATTTTATATCATAGACTGAAAAATGAAAGCAATGATTTAATATTACTGGTGTCTTTACTGGTCATAATGTCGAGCACTACACTGCTGTATACATTAAGAGGTTGGGCAAATCGTATCTACCACTGGACCTCACAGCCATGAGCAGGGTCAGCCTGAGGTGTTCAACATGCTGGGTTCTCACTGGCCAATTACTGAGGAATGCACGCCAAAAATAGATTTATTACTTTAGATATTAAACATGGTTGTAAAAGAACCACACATCACTTATTGCAGGAACCACCAGCCCCAGACATCACTTGTTGAAGGAACCACCAGCCCCAGACATCACTTGTTGAAGGAACCACCAGCCCCAGACATCACTTGTTGAAGGAACCACCAGCCCCAGACATCACTTGTTGAAGGAACCACCAGCCCCAGACATCACTTGTTGAAGGAACCACCAGAACCAGACATTACTTGTTGAAGGAACCACCATAACCAGACATCACTTGTTGAAGGAACCACCAGAACCAGACATCACTTGTTGAAGGAACCACCAGCCCCAGACATCACTTGTTGCAGGAACCAACAGAACAAGACATCTGAAGCTTTGGTAAATTTGGTTATAGCGTGTTTTTTCCCAGCTGAGAAGAGATGCCACGCCCCCTCCTCAAGAGTTACAGCTGATTGGCTGTTGCAAATCTGTCTGATTTCACCCTAAATTAATGATGTATTTCTAAATGAGTTAATTCATTATCGGTGGGATGACCGCTTCCGGTGAGAAAGATATTTAGCTAAATTATATAAAGATACTGTACATACATTCATTATTTTAAACATGAGCACGTAGGAAGTTCATCAGAAGTTTATACAGGAATTAACTGTTAAACTCTGGTTGCAAATTCACATTTTTGGAGGTTGCATTTAATATACAGTATACTTATTTTTACCCACAATATAGCATACTAAGACTAATTACATATCAGTAATACTACATGATGCAAAAACTAACATTTTAAATGATCAGAATTACGTTGAAATATTACACGACCGTCAGCAGAGGCGGGAAATATGACTGCGAACAACTTCATATTTCCTGCCTCTGCTGACGATTAGGCGGCCAAGCTCCCCAGTCTGTCACACTCATCCAACAACTTTCAGAGGCCGTGTAATATTTCAAAGTGATTCTCATCGTTTAAAATGTTAGTTTTTGCATCATGTAGTATTACTGATACATTATTTGTCTTAGTACTGTATGCATTATTGTGGGTAAAAATAAGTATATATTAAATGCGTCCTCTGAAAGTGTGAATTTGCTACCAGATTCAATCACTAACTGAGGCACCACATTACCCAGGTCTTATAAATTTCCATATATAGAAGTGTTATATCTCACTAGACTTCTTCTTTTATAATTGTTTTAATATTAAAGTCTCATTCATTCAGTGCCTTAACTTATACTTATACTTTTCCAAAATCTAACAATTCAATGAATATTTATTAAAGAGGAAAATGATGGCTTTAAAACACTTACCTAAATGGCATGGCAACAAGAACAGGACCAAATATCTCCTCTACAACTGTGCGAGATGTAGTTCCAACTTCAGTGATTAAGGTCGGTGGATAAAAGCATCCGGCTGGGGCATCCACTTGAAACACCTGATAAAAACTGAACTGATCAAAACCTGAGGCTTAAGACATAGAGAAAATGGGTACAGTAATGACAGAGGATATTAAGGCTTAGTGACCACTTCATTACCTGCTGCAGCAGGAAAATAGTAAAAGGATTGAGAGAACACAAGGTAATAAAAAAACAGTAAAAGCTCGCTAAGGCGGACCCCACTTAACCCGACAAAATTATTTGCTCAAAATTAAAAAAATTAAATTAACTAAAAAAAAAAAAAAAGTAGGACACAATTTGTCATAAGATGACATGTCCACCTTAAGCCAAAATTTCAAGAGAGCAAGACGGACAGACTTCGCAATTCACCCACGCTGGTAAACAAAGGGACATGCGTCACAAACTCGGTCATAAATTAGCGTCGCCCGTGATAGCATAACTTCTGCTCTGTTGCTCTATCGATTGTGTTTTATTGCCGTATAGATGCGCTGAACTTTATTTTTAAACTTATTTGACATTGCCAGTAATGTGATTATGCTGTAGGCAGACGTAGCATACATATTATTGCATTATTTTTGAAAAATTAGACAATAACCATGGCCCCTAACTAAAGATAAAGGTGATTGAAAATTAGAAAAAGATGCTGCTCCTTCACAAATATGCGCTGAATACGGAATTTCAAAGCAGTCACCGTCGGATATACGAAAATCAAAATATAAGTTGAACAAATATGCCTAGAAATTTAATGTGGACCAAGTAAAATCTGGCATTAAGAAAATGAAAAAGGTTGGGAATGAGGACTTGGAAGGGGCAGAGGTGTGGAAATCCAGGCAGCTGCTGAAAGGTTATCAAAACATAAATGTAAAGGATTTTAATTCTAGTATTGGCTGGTTATTTAGATTTCAAAGGTGCCACAATATTTCTTTCATAAAAATTGGATACATTGGTGTTGTACAGTATTTTCTAAATTTAATGAACTAATTCAAGCCACCCGTTTGTTAAATCAAAATTTCCACTAAATCGAGCTCTCGGTCAACTAAGTACACTGGAGTACCTCAGCTTTCATAATTATTCAAGACATCATCAGAGGCAACTGAATGAAAGGGGTGGAATGTCAGGTCACTCTTTCTTGGTGATGCAGGGTAATGGTAGGTGACACAGGCATGGTAGGTGATGCAGGGTAATGGTAGGTGACACAGGCATGGTAGGTGATGCAGGGTAATGGTAGGTGATGCAGGGTAATGGTAGGTGACACAGGCATGGTAGGTGATGCAGGGTAATGGTAGGTGACACAGGCATGGTAGGCGACCAGGCATGGTAGGTGATGCAGGGTAATGGTAGCTGACAGAGGCATGGTAGGTGACCAGGCATGGTAGGTGACCAGGCATGGTAGGTGATGCAGGGTAATGATAGGTGACCAGGCATGGTAGGTGATGCAGGGTAATGATAGGTGACCAGGCATGGTAGGTGACACAGGTGATGGCAGGGAAACACTACATAAACAGTAAACAGTTGCAGCATTTATGTATACTACTTTAATTTGGTCACTTACACAAAATAAAGAATAAATTTTAACATAAATAATTGTTTTCTCTTTGTACAATTCAAGTCTAGATACAGCATGTAAATAAACACGTAACTTATATAACTAATAATATTTCCCTGGTAAAAATGTTGTCTTTATTACAGAGCAAAAGAGTAAAAATTACAATACTCTAATGTAGCTTAGAAATAAAGAAAGATGAAGAGCATAGCTGTGTGGGGGGGTGAACATATGTGAAGGCCACTCAGTGAGCTGTACTGCTTGGCTGACTCACTCGCCTCCCATGTGGCGTCATAGCACACACACGTCTCAGTCAGCAGGTTGACTGCTAGGCTGAACTGTGGCATCACTCAGACGATGGTTTGAGTGTGGCGGGAGCTATTTTTTGTACATAATATGTGCTGTTGTATTTTATGATATTCTATGTATCAATTTTATTGTTTATCACAGCTATTTTGGTTTAAAAAGTGGTTATAGCGCTACAGGCATCAGACACACACATAAATGACTCAGTTGCTTTCAGATTGCTGACTAAATAAGAAGTTTTACCAAAGGGGACAAAGTTGGGATACCTGGAAGATCCAGAGTTAGAATTCAGATTAAATAAAATGCACAGTAAATTATATAGTGTCTCTGCCCTTGGATTTACCATAATAGTGGAGATGTTCTGCATACAGTGGCTGGCCTGACATGAATGGGGGAGGTTGTTGGGTGTTAATGGGTTAGTATGGCAGGAACCAAATTTTACCAGGGAGTGCTGAATATTAATTCTGGTGCCCTAGATACTCTGTGGTGCAATGTATAGTACAGGGTACTTTATACCCACACTACTGGGATGCTACAATGCCCTCCCTTCCCACAACAATAACAAACACCAAACTGACAAGCGTGGAATGCAGCGCAGTGATTTTCCAAGATAATTTTATATAACTCAGCATTTCCCGAGTTATTTTATAATAAATTCCGAGACCATATCCACGTATCGTATGCCGAGTTATCAAGAGTTTACTGTATATACTAATGCTTAAGGCTGTGTGGCTACAGCAGAGTCCTGTATAAGGTGCTCAAAAGATGAAGGGGTGCACTTAGTTCTTGACAAGACTACTGTATATTTACAGTACCTGCTTTTATTGTTCCATCAAAACCGTTTTATCGGAAATTATCACGTAAATAGATAAGAAATTACCATTGCAATAAATATATTTGCCAACAAGGCATAATCCTGACAGCTCTGTCCTCTTGCTCAACCTTAATACTGTACAACCCGTTGTACGGCTTCCCCTATTATACTTATGATTTTCAATTCCACTGTGACTTATGTATATACTTATAATATAAATAAAAAATACAATAAAATAAAAATAATTAATAAATAAAATAAATAAATATTGAAGTGATAACCGTGGCAACAATATGAGATGTTCTTATTACCACCATGCTATTGTACTATTCCAGATGATACTAAATGTTGCATAATACTTCCTTGAGATAAATGTATAGTATATATCAAGTGCCTAAAGGAGAGCTCAGGTTCTCAACTGGCTCAGCCATGTTAATATTGTTATTATTATCCACTTTCTATGTGTTTTTCTGGCTAAATAATCTGTTTCAATTCAATTCAATTCAGATAAACAAAACCTGAAAACTGACATGGGATATGTCATTTTGTTACCAGAGTTATTTGGGTGACATGGAGCACACACACCAGTGTGACAGTAAGACTAGTTGCTTCAGTTGTAACTGTTTTTATCCAAATGTCTCTTTTCGGATGTCTGGATATGAAAAGAAGGCATACATTGATTAATGAACTTATCCAGTGACTAATGCTGCAGGCTTCTGAGTTTTATCCTGAAGCCTTTAGGTGGTAGAGCATAAGTTGCCCAGGCCAAGTAACGGGACATAAGTCACACTCACCTCTGCTCCGTCCTTACGAGCTTCATCAACATAATTAGCGATGTATTTCAGCTGACAAGGATCTATAATGGCACCCATATCTACAGCTTTATCCAAGGATGACCCGAGCCTCAGAGTCTTCATACGATGCTTCACTTTTTCAATAAACTTGTCAAACACCGGCTCTTGGACGAGGAGACGTGACCCAGCACAGCAAACCTGAAAGTTCAAGGATTTATTTTCTTTATTTAGTACACGGCCAAAACACTGATATATATGTAGAGATGTATTTGTTTCTATCACTGTGACACCATAAGCAACTACTACAGGTTGGTTATCTGTGACTTTTAATCTATTATGGCCTCATAGAGATTCATAAGTTTTCCATTTCAGAAGGTACAGTACAGTAATTAACTGAACCCTTGTATTACAGTTGTACAACGGTAATTACTAGGCCTGTGTGGTAGGTTTTAGGAAATTAAAAATTAATTATTTATCATATTCAAACTTTATAAATACAGTAAACTTGTGTTCAAGAATGTGTGGGTATGGCCTGGATGCAGGCACCCATTGGTAGATGGTTGTGTAATAAAGTGTGTTCTGGTACAGGGCATAGCTCAGACTGTGATGCCAGATACATCATGGAAAAACAGTCTCTCCTCGACTTACGAAGGGGTTCCGTCGTGACGACCAGGTCGCAAGTCGAAAAGGCAAAAATAATACACAGAAATTCTAAAATGGGTGTCTCTTTTTCTTCTCAGCACCACGAGAACTCTCACTTTTACGCTTGCCAGCCATTTTAAAGGGAAATGCAAACAAAAATTTTCTTAGTACACAGTGCAATCACTAACGTTGGGACTCAAAAATACGTAGTGTGAAAAATATTTTAAATGAACATGGCCGTCGTATGTCCAGGTTGTCATAAGTCGAGGAGAGACTGGACAAGATTCTCCTCTTCTATGTACAGTAATATCTCCCTTAGCCGGAATCCCTCAAACCCGGAACTCTCCGATAGCCGGAAAATTACGGCTTTGGGAAAGATTTTCCGAGGGGCACATTTTCCGGAAAATTGCAAAATAAATTTCCCGATACCCGGAAAATTCTGGGGATGGGGTAGTTTTGTTCCTGCTTTGAGAGATGAAAATCAGGCGCAATTTCTGGAACTTCCGAGAACATTTTTCGGTTACGCGGAAAATTACGGGTACAAGAGATTTTTTCTGGCTTTGAGAGTCGTCTCGTTACCCGGAAATCTCACATTCCCGGAAGTGCTCTGCACCAACTGTTCCGGCTAACGGAGATATCACTGCATTACATTTTCTCCACAAATTCACCAATGGCTTTGTACAAAAGTAAAAGAAATAATTGTCCTAAGGGCAAACACGAAGGGAATATACATCTATTTTCACACGAGTAAGCTGGCTCAGTGAGGGAGGGTGGGGAGGAAAGTGCAGAGTGAAGGGGTTGGGGAGAGTTGCTTGGTAAATGGTGTCCCACCTGATCTTCGTTACTATGGTGAAACAGGGAGTGTATGTAAATGGTAAATGTGTTAAACTTTTATTTGGCTCTTATTTACTGTATTGCCAATACAGTCATCCCTTGGTTATCACACCTAATTGGGACCGCACCGAGTGCATGATAACGAAAGTACAGAACCTCTGGGATTTAGTCTAATCGGTTCCAGGTACCCAAGACCCAACCCCAATTTTCCCATTTTACGACCATTTAGATCCAATAAAGATATATATAATGTTATGGTAAGTATCAGACACACATAGGCATGGCTAGGTTTATTACTGTAGTCCACAAAACATGTAGCTATGCTTTCTTTATTTGAGTCCCCCGTCTGAGGAGTCCGTTTTCTCATAGCTTCAGGACGCCTGAGTCCTCCGTTTTCTCTAAATCATAGAGTGCACCCGAGACTTCATTATTCCTTAGTAATGACACAGAATTTGAAATTGCAACTGGGGTTACAATTGTTGAGGCAACTTAGATATGTCTGATTACAGCAAATGTGTTATTGTCAATTTGTAGGTGAAAGATTTTATCCTCAATAGATGTAGGTGAAGCAAATGGGTAAAAACACCTGGAGGCAACTGCGTGATAACGAAATTCTCGGCTTGAAAAATGTGCTATAACAGCAGGTGAGCAGATTTTGATGGAGGCGTGATTACGAAAATCGCGATAACCAAGGGATGACTGTACAGTATTTTTTGTTGTAACTTATTTATTGGTATAATTTTTATTCATTCCTCACATTTCCTGGTACAGTATTGTACTGTATACAGTCTCTCCTCGACTTACGACAGGGTTCCGTCCCGACTACCAGGTCGTAAGTCGAATTGGTCGTAAGTCAAAAAGGCGAAAATAATACATAGAAATTCTAAAATGGGTGTCTCTTTTTCTTCTCAGCACCACCAGAACTCTCACTTTTATGCTTGCCAGCCATTTTAAAAAGAATTACAAACGAAAATTTTGTCAGTACACAGCGTCATCACTAACATCAGGACACGAAAATTTAAAAAATATTTTATACGACCACGGCGGTCTATGTCCGGGTCGTCATAATACTCCCTGCAAAAGTGGGGGTTACGGGTTTGAGATTCGAGATTTCGATGATTTGTGGTAAGCAGATGGTAGATATGGTGGCTAGCTTACGAGCCTTTTCCCACACCACGAGTCACCCTACGCAGCATCTCGTGTTGTACTCTCAAAACTTTAGTGTTTCTGTGTGAAATAGCCCCTAAAAGACTGCCTAGTGTCGGTGCTAGTGATGTTAGTGGAGTAAAATGTAAAAGGCAGAAGTCAGTGATGACCCTGACAAAGAAAGTTGAATTATTAGATAAATTAAAGAAAGGGACGAGTGCTGCCGTGGCTGGTCGGTTGTTTGGTATAGGCATATCAGTATGGTCGGGATATACTGTATAGAAACTTTATATAAAGATTTTTTTCTATCGCGGATACCAAAATCATCGACATTTTCCAATATATAGCAATAAATTTATTTCCAGTAGACACAACTTACATGGAGTTATGTTCCTGGGACCTCACATAAAACCAAAAACAGTATAAAGTCACAAACACTAATAAAAATCCCCTAAATAGCCCCAAAAATACGAGTTGAAAAACTGTACAGTACTTAAATGTACTCTAAAAGACTAAAAAATATATTCTGCTAACTTTAGACTGTGCCATTTTATGTCAAGTTTAGTCACTTTTGTTGGCCTCCAGAACCTAACAATATTTTCCCCACCGATTACATGCACATGTTATTATAGACAGTAAAGCCTCCGATAACAACGGTTCGACCAACAGCTTTTCATATTTAAAACCCAATTCAATTTACATCCTTATTTCATTTGTAGTTACGACCAAAATATAATAAAAATAAAATAAACCTACAGTTTCATATACTGTAAATAATAACTAAATCCCGATATGTACAAAAAAACAATAACAAAATGCTGTAAAATAAATGAAGAGTGCCTTGCGCAAAGAAGCTGCCTTGTTAACGAGTGGTAAACAACAGTCGAAGCTTGGTGAGCCTTTTGTTTTCACGCATCTGGAACAGGAACAGGAGAAAAACTTCCTCAGGTTTCTTACAGCATTTTTGCATCCCTATTCAAAAGCCAATAGAAAGTATATAAGCTTAGCCGAGAAACTAGATGTGTTAAAAGATACGAAAAAGGTGAGAGGTCTGTGGATATTATATAGAGCAAGCAATGAACATATTTTCTGAAGTGGATCCATTAATAGAACAAAGCATTAAAATTTAAATAAACACAAATGACCTCTACATAAAGATGTATAATGAGAAAAGAAAGCAGCAGTGCAAGGTTTGTTCAACAGCTTTATTATTCAAAGGCCTAAACCATCAACTTCAGCTACACCATCAAATTCAGCATCACAAGCAGCTTCAACTTAAACTTCAGGTTCAGCAAAAATTTCAGCAACAGCTTTATGGAAAGCTGCAGCTTCAGCCAGAGTTGAACCTGATGACTTCGTCATCTGAGTAAAAACTCGCACAACATTCATTGACTGTCCTTATGTTTTAGACTTTACCACCATTGGTGAGTAGAATTTTAGTTTTACATTAGTAAATATTTTTTTAAATATATATGAACAGTAAATAAATGTTGCTTTCATATTCATATGTAGAGAAATGACGATATGTTTTCACTTGTACGCACTTACTGTCCATACATTGGCATTCCCAATCATCTCGCCTTATTTCTTTACCATTAGTGGTTAGCTACTTCAAGTGTTCCATTTATTAACATTAAATTACATTACTTACAACATACATACATACAGGTATTATTTTTTTTTTAATTAAATTCACTCCAGCTACAACCAGGGTCTTATTTTCTTCAGTTTCTTATGTAGAACCATCGTCACTCACGAAAACAATGCCGTCTTGTCTCCTCTTGTGTGTTTTAATATTCTACGTATTATCAATGAATTGCATTGTTTATTTCACGTATAAACATTAATTCAATGAAATACATATTCAGTAATAAACAATAATGTACATATGTACATATTCTTAAAAAGATAAATGACGCAGTATCCTTAAATGTGCACGTACGTAGGTAGTAAGCAGCTACCAAACAGGGAGGTACTACCGCCTGGGAAGATATTGGAAGCATAATATGTTGTCTAATGGTAGACCCTGCTGCCATATGGCATCAAAAAAATTGTGACCAAGTCCCTGGTTGCTGATCTGACTTCTGCCTCATTTACACACAATTGCAGGGTCTCAATTGTTTCTCTTACTATTGACAACACAATATACATACTGTATATTGTTTCTCACTTTTGATTTATTTTTCATTTTTGTATTTCTTTATGGTTCTTTATTATTACTAATATTATTATTATTATTATTATTATTACATTTTCACCCCCCAGGCCCCGATGTGGGTCAGTGACCTGTGCCCGGGTGGGCTAATCCCCGTAAAAAAAAAAAATTTTTTTTTTAAATTAAATAATTTGGCGTTCCCAATCCCTCTCTTTTTTTTTCTTTGCCATCAGTGGTTAGCTACTTCTATTTTTCCATTTATTAACATTAAATAACGTTACTTAAAACACATATCGTAATTTTTTTACATTAATTTTACTACAGCTACAACCAGGGTCTTATTTTCTTCATTTTCTCGTGTAGAACTATCGTCCCGGACTCCCGGCTGTAAACACAAACGAAAACAATGGCATCCAATCTCTTGTTTGACCATATTATTATTCATTTATATTGTATAAGGTGCATTTAGAAACATTATTTAAATTATATAGTTTGCAATTTTCATTAATTGTATTGTTTTGGGGGAAAAGAGGGTAAAAAGCCACACAAAAGTTATGAAAAGGTCAAACTGGGGAACGCATTTCATTATTATTGCTTTATTTTAATGGTAATTAATGACTCGCCATAAGACGATTCACCTTACGCTACAATATTGGAGGACACATTAACTTCGTTATTCGAGGCTTTACTGTATAGCGATTTGGTATATAGCGAACATCCTTGGACCCTATCTCGCGATATATCGCGACCCTACTGTACAGTAGTATAAGTTGCTATTCACGGTTTTACCAATTCGCGCCATTCCTTGGAACCTAACCCTCGTGAGTAACAAGGGTTTACTGTACGTACTGTATTTTGGGTGGTTTTTATATCGTTATTTATCGTTTTTATACATTTAGTACATTCACCAGAAGATGCAGATCCCGGTAATTGGCTTTTTTGAACAGGTGGCCCCCTTAAAGTCCAGATCTTTACGGGTTCACTGTACAGTATAATGAAACTGTACAAGTTGTGGAAAAATTATTTCAATACTCTAATGTGACCTAGAAATAAAGAAATACAGGTATAATATAAAATTATAAAATGTGAAGAGCATGGTTGTGTATTATGTGTGGGAGGTGATTGTCTTTGTTGAAGCAGTGAGAAGTTTGTCAGTAGCACATCTGGGGACGGCTGGGTAGGCCTATTGCAGTTTAAATGCCACCACACAACCACCTCTGCTGCATGAATATCTAAACACTCACCATTCATCCTGGATCTTCTTGCAATGATGACAATGATGATCAGTACAGATCCCATGTAATGATTAAGATGATGATGGGCACAAGACAATATAATAAACATGAAATAACATAAACATTAAATAACAAATACTGTGAACTGTAATAAGGTGTTGACTCCTCTTGATCCCTGCCTCGTGACCCCCTGACAACTCTCCCCTTGCCGTAGGTTAGGTGAATGATGTTTATGATGATGATGACTATGAAGTTGATGATGAAGATGGTAATGGTGATGATGATGGTGGTGATGAAGATGATATTTACTGCCCCTCATCTATGTATGCCTCAACAGGGGGAGCAGGGATGGCAGGAGAGAGTGGTGGGGAGGAGAGAGAGCTTGGGGATCGTCCTCATCTTCAGAGGACAAGTTTAAGAGTAGAGGGCGATGGCGTGATGCATTGGCAGTGGCAGGGGTAGCTGGAGTGGCAAGGGTAGCTGGAGTAATAGAAGATGCTGGAGTGGCAGAAGACTGAGTTGAAGCTGGTGTTTTGGGAACTCTGGAGAAAAAGAGCATGATGGGGAGCTGAGATCTCTGGTGCTTTAGATCTTTGTAGATTTTGTTAAGTGGTGTTAGTACAGTACTTGGTACACACCCCTGTTTATCTTCAGCGCTCGGTCTAGAGATGAGTCTAGTTCAAGAAATGTTTCTTTTCCTTGCTTGAAGAATATAAAAAAAATATTTGTAATTTTCTCTAAAGTCCAGATGTTTTCCTCTAAATCAACTGGAACAAGATCTCATTGCAATAGGGCCTTCCAACAGGAGTTCACACATTTGCTAGTAATTTCATCATGGCTCAGTTTAACATTTGCTATGCATTCAACAATGGTGCAATTTTTCCACATCTCCTTCATCTGGCCATCTTCTTTGTGCCTCGTGGATCTTAGAAAAACTGCGAGTGAAGTAATATGATTTGAATACAGCAATTATGCATTGGTCAAGAGGCTGAAAAAGTTGGGGGGGTTTTTATCATGGCAATCCGTGAGTTTCTGAGGAACACAAGCTTTAAAAATGAACAAGCTCTCAGAAATATTGCCTTCACCCCAAGTTCTTATTCTGGGAAGAAATTTTTATAAATTCAAATCAAAATTAATTTTTCTAAAGATAATTACCTGTCCTTGATTGAACCAGATGGCATCAACTACGCCTTCAACAGCAGAGTCCAGGTCAGCCGAGTCATACACAATCACAGGACTCTTGCCTCCAAGCTCTGTCATGTGAGAGAGAAAGCATATTATTGTGCTGTTCTTATACAGAACATTTTTTAACCCTTTCGATACCAATACCACAATTTGCCAAAGATTGGTTATCATCTCGAAAATGTGACTACAATCTACCATGATTACTGATGAACTGGGACCCCAGGTGGCCTGTTGTGCACCTCACATCGTGGAAACTAAGCCAGGCAACTCTCATAAAACATGGTGACCTCCAGAGGTTCCTCAAGTCCTCACACATCACCTCCCAATGTCAGCCAGTGTCAACATGTCACTCCTCTGGATAGACCAATTATATTTCTCTTCCTACTGTACCATTAACCTTGACTGGAAGGAATGACACCATTGTTCTAAAGAAATGAAGGTTTATTTAGAGCAGTGAATATCCAACAAAGCATTCAAACACCAAGGCAATTGACTCCACTGTCGTGAATCTAAATAAGTCCAATGCAGTCCAAAGGAATCTGAGTGAACCTGGGCAAAGCCAAACACTCAGGTGTCAGTTCCTGCTGACAAGTGACAAAACAGAGGAAGTGGTAAGGTCTTCTAGATTTTGGAATAAGCTAGAAAATGGATTTCAGGATCAATACTCCATTTGTATCAGACACCCTTGCCACACAACCAGCTCAAACTAGGAGGCAGGAGGTGCTACACACAAAAAAAAACCCAAGTTGGACAGCCATATGTGCTGACCCATTAATGTCAGTGGATCAGCAGTTGAAGACTTGCCATATCTCTTCCTACACAGATGTAGCGTTCTCCTTCCAGCAAGAGTAACCTTCAGAATCTATCAGCAGACAAAGGCACAATAAAGGAAGTCTTCATTATACATTGAGGATATGTTCCAGAGATGAGTGACTTACAGTGAAACCTTTTATAATGAGGTATTTTCGCCCATAAGATTTAATGTAATTAGGGATACAGGTAAACCTATATTTACAATGGGGTTAGGTTTCTCAAAACCAAGAGTTGGAATCGTCAAATGTGGTGTTAAGGGGAATAAGGTGCCAAAGAGATTGGCTTTGTCGGAGGGAGAGTTGGCTATAGAGTTATCAGGTCGGAAGAGAGGAGGAAACGAGGGAGTGCATATGTTTTTGGTTAAGGACCAGAAGGATTTACTAGAGGAAGAATTAGTCAGGACATCGGTCCTTCTTTTTATAAAATTTTCCGCTTGGCCCTACGAAGAATAGCCTTACAATGATTCCTAGAAGTAATGAAAGAGGTGTGGGTAATAGGAGATACAGGTAGTTTCATAGCTCGATATGCCCTATCACTCTCCCTGCATGCAAGAGAGCAGGAGTGATCAAACCATGATTGTAAAGTGAAAGTTTTGGTAGAAGATGGGATAAATGCACTCATACCACCCTGTATAACCTCAGCAATGCTGTCGGCACATACTGAGGCGTCCTGAGTGGAAAAGCAACATTCATCCCAAGGAAAGTCAGTGAAGAATTCTAGCAAGGATTGCCAGCTTGCCCTCCGATAGTGCCATAGTTGACGTTTAGAGGGGGGTGGGGGAGGTGGTCGGGCCCAGTTTGATTTAATAGAAATAAGATTGTGATCAGAAGACCCTAAGGGGGCAGAAATTGAGTATGAACAGTGCGAGGGGTTAGAGGTAAAACAAAGATCAAGAATGTTAGTAAGATGATCATGTCGATCAGGAACACATGTAGGGTGTTTAATTATTTGCTCCAGATCATTAAGTAAGGAAAAAGAAAGTGCCTCAGCTCCACCTGGGTCATCTCTTGCAGAGCCAAGCCATTCTCTGTGATGTACATTGAAATCCCCTAGGTTGAGGATCTCGGTGTTGGGGTGTGTGGATAGCAACGACTCGTGGCAAGAAGTGAGATACACAAAGAGTTCTAAATAGTTGGGAGAACAGTATAGGAAACAAAGGAAAATAGTCATAGTTGGTAGAGATATGTTGAGCCAGATGACATCATAAAGGGAAGATTCAAGATCCGTGAATCGAGCTACAGTATAGGTGTACGTGTGTTGCAGTAGGCGCATACACCTCTTGAGAACAGAAGGAGGTATAAAGGTTGTAGTTGGAGACTTGAAAAGGTTTGGGTGAAGCTGCTTTGGTCAGTTGAAGTTCGGATAGTAGTAAGAGGTCGGGGGAATATTTTAATAGATGGTGCTCCGCAGACGGAAATTTGGATCTGAGGCCGCGAATGTTGGAAAAAATGAAGTGTGAAAAATGCCGATCCTCCAGCAACCGCGGTGACGTCTGTTGAGGCCCCAGTAGATTGATGATCAAGTCGGCCCTGGGGTCCACAACCTTCCCGACCAGTTCCATTTATTAACATTAATTAAAACATTCTTTTTTTATATCCATTTTACTACAGCTACAAACAGGGTCTTATTTTCTTCAGTTTCTTATGCAGAACCATCGTCACGGACTCACGGGTGTAAACACTCATGAAAACAATGCCGTCTCGTCTCCTCTTGTGTGTTTTAATATTCTAGGTATTGTTAATGAATTGCATTGTTCATTTTGCATATATAAACATTAATTTAATCAAATACATATTCAGTAATAAACAATAATGAATCTTTTGTACATATTCTTAAGATAAATGACGCTATGTTTCCTTGAGTGTGCACGTTGGCTATCAGTCTCTCACCTTGAACATAGGTTTATTATCCTTACATATTTACTAATATTATTCACTTATATACTTTGATTACTGTGGCAATAGGCAGTGTAGGAGGGAGGAAGAAACGTAGGAGGAAGGAAGGAGTCTGGCAGGTAAGAAGTGTGTGGGAGGGAGGGAGCAGTGTAGGAGGAAGGATTATGGGAGGGAGGAAGGATTATGGGAGGGAGGGAGCAGTGTGGGAGGGAGGAAGGATTATGGGAGGGAGGGAGCTAGTGTAGCAGGGAGGAAGGATTGTGGGCTTATGTAACTATGCAGTGGGACTGGGAGTGGTAGGGAGTACTGTATCCCATGACAGTAGTAGCCAATTATAGCTCAAGAGCACTCGGCACGTATCAATTCCTGATACAATATCTCAGAAATTTGTTTGAATGCCCAGAACAGAGAAATATATCTTGAAATTTAAAAAAAAAAAAAACCATTGGGGTAATAGAAAGTTCCCAGGATCAACGATTCCAGCTATCAGGAAAATTAGTGTACAGTACTTTAAAAATTATTTTTCCACTCACCAAGAGATATTTTCTTTCCCGTCCCAGCAGTGGCTTCCCTCAGAATTTGACCAATCTCAGTTGATCCTGTGAACCCAACCTTATCAACATCTGTATGAGTTGCCAGCAGTGAACCCATTGCTCCTCCGCCTGTTATCACATTAAACACTCCAGCTGGAAGCCTGTGAACAATTAATGTTGTGTTAATAACAATCTGTACTGTAATTATGAAAGAATGCAAAAACTATGAGCTAAATAGAGCAGTAATAAGACTACTGTATACAGCACAAAATACCCTTACAGAAATACAAGAATGGAGGATTGATCCTGAAATCTCATATCATGACTTGACCTAAAAACAGCAACTCTTGTTATAAGCTCTGCAGAACCTACAAGAAACCATAACCCTAGTAGTACAGGGACCCCCTCCAGATACTAACGTTCAAGATACTAATTTGTTTATACAGTCATGTTGCATTGTATGCAGAGGTTAAGTTTCTAAGAGGATGCGCAAAGCCAAAACCATGTATTGTACAGTATAGTCAAAATTACCCTTGAAAATCCCTTAAATCCCCCATACAGTACTTGGTTATATATACCTGTCAACAGCACGTCTGGCATCTTGGCTGGTTAGGCCTATTTCAGTTTAAATGTGCACCACACACGGTAGGTGACAAAAAAATATAAAATAATTATCATAAGGTCAAAAACATGAAGGGAATTAATCATTGTGTGTAGAAACAAACAGTGAGGGTGGGAGGGAAAGAGCTATAGCTGGTGTTTCCTCACTCACTGCTCCGCTCTCTCACCATCTCCTGCTAAATGGCAATGCGGTGTTGTTCCCCCCCCCCCTTTTTTTCCTCACATTTACTGTTACAATATACTATATTATTTTATGTACAAAGAATAAGTTCTTCTACACGCACACCTTCCACACATCCTCATTTAAAGTCCACTAACCCACCGCCTCATAACACAGTTACTTCATTCATACGCTCTTTATTTTTCTTACCATACTTTACGGCACATAAGACGCACCCTTGTTTTAACAGGGAGTATTTAGGAAAAAAGTTTTGCGGATTTTCCTCCTGCAGTCATAGTTTTCTTAAAATAATATATACAGTACCAGTAAATGTGGGGAATAAATGTAAATAATCCCAATAAATAAGTTACAACAAAAAATACTGAATTGCCAAACCAGTACAGGTAGTTCTGCTATAATGCGATAGTTGTGTTCTTGTAAAACATCGTGTTATAGAAATTCGCGTAATAAAAATAACAGGGCTTATGGAGAAAATAGGGTTAGGTGCAGATTACTCCAAATCGAAGAAAAAAATTCGTAGTTAGCCTAACACAAAGGATAGCACAGTCTAAATAAATGTTACATTCATATCTAATAATGAAATCATACAGCAAATGTTACACTTTACCTTGAAAAAATATGAATATAACTTGATGGGGGATAAGGGTGATGTTGAGGCTGAGGAGTCATGAAACATCAAGCTTTTCTTCAAGTGTTATAGCCTTTCTTTTACGATCACCACCGGAAATGCAATCACCAGAACGATTCCCAGACATATTCTTCTTTTCCATAGTCACAAAATTGGAGAAACAGTAATCAGAATTCACTGAGGACGCTTAAAAACTTCACACGTGTTTCAAACTGAACGTGTGGTGTAAACAGAGCGTGCGGGTCTAAAACGCTATGTATTTTGTTTTTCTCTCTTATTTAAAATTTTACAATTTACATATACTGTACAGGTATACTGTATACATAAATATTACATAAATCATTTCTGCAATTGTTCACAAACAAAACACATAAATCAATTGAACATGTGATGTCGAACGTGAACCGTAAACACTGCATAACCCCGCGCCAAGCCACAACACTGTACAGTACACTTTAAACACTACGTATTTAGTTTTTCTCTTTCATTTAAATTTTTACAATTTACATACAGTATATATGTAAATTGTAATTTACATATTATTCATATTATGCTACAGCGCCCACAAAACATGAGAAACGTTCGAGTCCCCCAGTAGAGATGTCCGTTCTCTACCCACTCCAGGATGTCTTAGTCCTTCGTTTTCTTTTTGTGTATTCGCTCAGGGACTCAAGTATTTCTGTATATAACACAGGATGATAAGGGAATTTGAAATTATGAGTGAATGAATTTATTATACAGTGATCAATTAACATAGTATTGATGTGTTTAAGTAGTATTCAGGCGCCTTCAGCCTAGTAATGTTACGACATTCGTATCACTCACTCTAAACCACGAATTTCATCCATACAGAGAGAGAGAGAGGCCAAGCGCTCTGTTTACATCACACACACATAAATATTACATACCGTATATCTCGGCCTATTTTATAATCGCAGTCATGTACTGAATATTCTATGTAACAAATATAAATTTTAAATGAATTATTTATAGTGTAGTCGACTTCCTACACAAAGACGGGCTATAAATAGCCTTCTCATCTCCTCTCCATCTATTACCCTCTGTTCTCAGAGAGGTCTTGGTAAATAACTTTTGTTTGTTTATTTTCATTGTTAGTCTAATTTATCATGTTGTATCAAAGTAATACACCTAGACCCCGACTTACGACGGGGTTAGGGACCCAAATCCAGGTCGTAAGTCCGACATGGTCGTAAGTCCGATAGATAAAAAAAAAAAAAAATTTTTTTTTTAATAAAAATCTACAATGAAATACAGTACAGTAAAAGTAATGAATAATGATGAATGGATACAGTACAGTGAAAGTAATAAATAATAAGGAATGGATACAGTGTGACTGAGCACTTAACCTTTAATGTAGTCAGCTGAATGCACATGGGGCCCCATAATTTTCTAATTATACATGGAGACTACATTAACTGGAAACGTTTCGGTATAGAAAATGCGTGTCATTTAAATTTTTTTTTTTTTTTTTTTTTATCTATATCTGAGGCGGTCGTAAGTCCCGACGGTCGTAAGTCCACGTAGTCGTAAGTCGGGGTCTAGGTGTATTGCTAAAATTTGTGTATAGGTAGTAGGCAGCTACCAAACAGGGAGATACTACAGCCTGGGAAGATATTGGAAGCATAATGTACAGTATTGTCTAATGGTAGATCCTACTTCCATATGGCATCACGAAAATTGTGACCAAGTCTTAGGTTGCTGATCTATCTTTCTGCCTCATTTACACACACTTGCAGAGTTTCAGTTGTTTCTTTTCCTTTGACAACACAACATACATACAATATAATTTTTCTCACCTTTGATCTTTTTTCCTTTTTGCATTTATTTATGGTTGGTTATTTAAAATAAGGCCAATTCACTTCAAGTATTGGCATCAAATTTTACCGGCTGGTGTACACTAGTGACTCACTTAAGCGTCAGTTATTTAACTGGAACTAATGTCAGTGTGAGTAAAATATTTCCATTTACTTGAAATAGATTTGCCGATTTATTTGTTTATTTATTTATTTATAATATACTGTAATATATTAAACACACTGCAAGTATTTTCTTTAATTTATATACTTGTTTCGCGAAAAAGGGAGGCTACCATTATACCTGTAGGTGAAGTTGACCAGACATTTATGGTGATCATTAAGGACCAAACTCCGAATCCATGACGTGACTTCTGTTCATCATTTATATCCTAAATTTACCACTGTCGATAGTTTCAAGAATTAATGCAGTCATTTACTGAACATGCTTTATAAAAAAATAAATTTTAAATTAATTATTTATAGGAGATAAGTATTATCATCAGTAAATATATAGATATGCATTACTGACCACCTCCGAACACAAGGACGGCGAAAAATAGCAACAGGCGGTCACAGTCAAGGTAACTTTCCCTTTCTTGTCACTGGCAAATGGGGGATGGGGGGTGGGGGGGGGGTGGTGATGATAGCAGCTGTGTTATTACCAGGGGTATACAGTAGTACCCCGATTTACGCAGTCAATTGAACCCACAGCGTATCGCGGAAAGTGAAAACCGCGTAAAGTGAGCAACAGAACATATGGGATTAATTACAATAGACTCACTTTACGCGGGCCGCCGAGGGTTGAATTAACCGCGTAAAGTGAGGGTTCACTGTGTGTATATATGTATGTATATGTATATGTATATATATATATATATATATATATATATATATATATATATATATATATATATATATATATATATATGTGTGTGTGTGTGTGTGTGTGTGTAGAGACTTCACACAAAACACATACAAATAAATAATAATGGGAAAATCCTCTCACAAATAATCAGACACAAATTTATAAAAATGTGACAGTCTACCCTCAAGTCTACTCTGTGCTTTATGAATAACAAAGCACAAAGTAGACTTGAGGGTAGACTGTCACATTTTAAACAATTTGTTTCTGGTGAGAGGATGATCCCATTATTATTAGTAGAACATTGATTTAAAGCGATTCAATTTAAGATTATTGATTTAAACCGACACCCACAATAAGGACAATGTTTGAATTTAAAGCGAATCTTTCCCACTTTGCGCGAGTCAATCTGGTGCATCATAAGGGAATACACACTATTTTAAGTTTTGCGCCTCATGTTTCCCACCAGACGCGTTTCTGGGGCACGCTACACGGCTGCCCGCCACCCTCACACACCCTCCCACATCCTCAGTTCTCACACTGACGCTCTAGTGAACGAACATATTGTGTGACACTATCTCCTTCTACCACGTGCATCAACCATCGCCACTATGTCCAAGAGGCCAGCTACTACACCATTAACTACCCCAAAGACCAAGAAATCAAGGCAAGCAATTACACTGTAGCAGTTAAACAAGGTGCTGGAAGCACTGCAGCGTGGAAATGGTTCTTCCCGTGTGTCAGATGTGTCCACAGCCACACCACTAGACAGTGATGTGGATGATGAGCTGGTCGAGTTGGGCTCTGCATCTTCAGAGGATGAATTGCCTAACTAAAGTTGAGTGAAAATCTATTTTCGATAGCATAAAGTAATTAAAAAATAAGTTGAGAGGAAAGTGAGTGCTGGGTGAGTCAGGTGGGTGGTCAGTGCCACCAGCGTGACCACCCTCTCACATCAGCTGATCGCTAGTAAACAAAACATTTTGCATCCCTTAATTTTAGCTGTGTTGATTTACGAGTGTTTGTTTATTCTAGGAGATGGACTGAGGACAAATTACATACAGTATACTGTATATATTTATACACAGAGAATAATAACTAACCTTTTTGTAGTACTGTATAGACTTAAAATTCAGAAAAGGACAGTTTACAGTTGTTCTTTTTTATAAAAGACAAGCGGGTCTCAAAAAGGCCAGACTGTCCTTAAAAGGCCAGACCTGGCATCAATGCGTGGCGGCTCCAGAGCGACCACCCACTCACATCAGCTGATCGATAGTACACAAACCATTTCACGTCCCATAATTTTAGCTGTGTTGATTTATGAGTGTTTGTTTTAACATAATACTACAAAAAAAATGTTTTGTTTATCCTAGGAGATGGGCTGAGGTGCATCTGGGTAGACTCTCAGTCTCTTTAGTATTTTGTGTTTCTCTCAAGTACCAAACTAAATTATTCTATTGAAACAACACTTTGATTTAGTGAGAATTCGGTTTAAAGCGACATCTCTTGGAACACCTCTCCTGGAACGTATCTCGTGTTACATCGACGTTCTACTGTACTGCACATTCAAATGTGGATGACGATAGCAGTTACTTGGATTAATTTTGTGTGTTTTTTGATGAGGATTTGATCAGTAATATTGCAAGTGAAACAAATAAGTATTTTGTTTTTTGTGGTGATGTAGAAGCATTTTCATATGGCTCACCCGTACAATGCTGGAAAGCCAACACTGTAGCTGAAATTTTTGTGTTTCTTGCATTAGCAATGAAACACTCAATGGTTGAGTACCGGTCCAAAGACATTGTGTTCACAACACCTGTGTTCGCCAAGTACATGTCTCGTGACAGGTTCAAGCTGCTGTTGAAATACCTTCACTTTGCTGATAACACCACCTTGGGCCTTAGTGACCCATTGTCCAAAATTTGGCCAGTGTTTACTGCATTGAAAAGCAAGATGAAAAACCTATTTTTGCCAATCCAGAACTTGGTAATTGACAAGTCTCTTATCTTGTTCAAAGGATGTCTTGAATTCAAGCATACATTCTGAGCAAACGTGATCACTTTGAAATCAAAGTGTTTGTTTTATGTGACTGTGAGACAAGAATTGTGTTTGATATTATTGTGTACACAGGAGCTACAAATGATATTTCCATGGCAATTGTAAAAAAAAAGATGATGGAAGCTTATCTTGGGAAGGGGAACATCTTGTTTAACGGTGCTCTAGCCCTGACCTGTGTATATTTTTACATGTTAACAACACTGGTTCATGTGGTACAGTGGGTAGAAACAGGAAGCACATGCCAGTGTTCAAAGAAAATATTGTAAAGGGTGAAGAGGACAAATATGAGTGCAATAACCTATTGACACTGCATTGGAAGGACAAAAGAGAAGTGACAACACTAACAAATGTACAGTCAGCAAAAAAAAGTTCTGCACTCTTAAGTTTGATGGCCTCTGCACCGATCACTGACTGAGGCCATGTTAGTTTGGTAAGGTTGGTATTTCTGGTTGTGTGATGCATTGTATAGCCAGTATGATGTATTTTTTTATATCGCATATAGTTAACACGGAGAAATTAACGGGAATCACCCGCGTAAATGACTGTTTTTCAGAATTCTTGGTTGCAGTGTGTCATATTGTATAACTCCATAAAGGTGCAGAAAATTATTTTGTTGACAATACATACGGGGCAGATGATTGATTCCAAGAAGATCGACTACAAGACTGGGAATACAATCATGAAGTCTGACATCGTGATTGAGGACACACAAAACATGCGCTCAGTTGTCAAGAGCGACATGCAAATCAGTAGTGAATCCACGCGGAAATCTGTAAAATGGTACAAGAAACTGTTTTCCCATTTGGTTGATGCAGCTGTACTCAATTCCTACAACTTATAAAATAATGGGTGCCCCTCGTGTAACGAGGATGGCCGGCCCAAGGGCCACTTAGGCATGAGTTTGTTTAAGGTGCAGAAGCTGACACAAACGCAACAACCACACCCTAAGTTAACGAGTTGCGTGACCCAGTATCAAGGAATAGTCCGAGAAGACCGGACAACTTGCCAACTGCACTCACTAACCATTACCCCGGAACACGATTCACAAATCGATTAACATCCAGGTTCCCAATTACTGCTGGGTAGACAGAGACAAATGGCATAAAGAAACTTGCCCATAGTTTCACCCTGCCTGGGGATCGAACCCGGGTCCGCTCTCTTTCGAGGCATTCCTACATCTATTATCTGGTAAAGACTGGCAAAAAGATAAAACTAAGGGAATTTGTGCATGATGTGTACCAGATTCTTGAGAAATATGGCTCAGTGAAGTCAGGAGTCCGTGATCGTGCTGCATCCCAACCACATGGCCCTGCCAGCCTTGCTGCACCAAACTACAAGGCCCATCATTATATTAAGGGCATGCCACCTCCAGAAGTACCAGGGAGCACAAGGAAACACAGAGTCAAGGGTCATTGTCGCTGCAGGGTGTGTTCATCAATATCCAAACGACCTCAGATAAAGAAACTCACAACATGGATGAGTGCCGAATGCAAAGTGCCACTGTGCACCCCATATTTCCCTGAGTACCACTCACACCCCTAACCCAAAAGAGAGTGGTGAATGTATTGTATATAGAGTAATAATAAGGAAACATGTGAAAGTGTTATGAAGATGTAAGAACTTGGAGTGAGTTGGTAGTGCATCTGACATTTCACTCCCAGAAGGGTGCTGAGGCATGATGTCTCGCCGAGTTCTCTGACTGACCAACAACCATAGGCGGTGAGTACAGGAATAATTATGTTATTTCCTATTGACTAACATGTATGTCTAACATTTCATTTGATTTTTTAAACCTACAATGCAGTTTGTGGGGAAAGACTTCCCAAGATTTGTTAGACCCTTAAGGGTTAATTACAAGTGACCATATACGAGGCGGCTGGGTTGGCGAGTCAGCCACGCAGTTTATAGCCAAGGCCTTGGCTAGAACTGCCTTTATACATGTTCACCTCTCAATCAACATATCCATGCTCTTCATTTATTTTTATATTTTCTTTATTTCTAAGCCACATTATTGAAACGATTTTTTGACAACTTTTATAGTTTCAATAAAATGAACAGATTATAACAAACAGGCAAAATTTATATATTTACAGCTGTAAATACACACAAACTCTCTCAATGAAAACACTGCATACATACCCGGCCTCAGCACAGATTTCAGCAAAGAGTAGCGCTGACAAACGGGTGTTAGTAGCTGGCTTTAAGACAACTGTGTTGCCCATCGCCAAAGCAGGACACACTTTCCATGCCAACAACATCAGTGGGAAGTTCCAAGGGACAATTGCACCTACGACACCTAAAAAGCAAGGACAGTAATCATTTTCTGTTAAATATTTCAATTACCAATACTCCAACTCAATTATGTGTAATGAGTGTGGAAGGTAGGTACACAAGAACGGTGCAGTGGTGTAAATGGCAGTAGGTAGATAGGCAGCTACCAAACAGGGAGGTACTACCGCCTGGGAAGATATTGGAAGCATTGTGTTGTCTAATGGTAGACCCTGTTGCCATATGGCATCACGAAAATTGTGACCAAGTCCCAGGTTGCTGATCTGATTTTCTGCCTCATTTACACACAATTGCAGGGTCTCAATTGTTTATCTTACTTAGACAACACAACATATATAATGTATATAATTTCTCACTCTTGATTGATTTTTTAAATTTTGTATATATTTATGGTTATTATTTATATTATTTTACCTGTATTTGTATTAATTTGCTATTAATTTTATTAATTGGTGTACTACTACTACTACTACTACTACTACTACTACTACTACTACTACTACTACTACTACTACTACTACTACTACTACTACTACTACTACTACTACTACTACTACTACTTTTTTTTTTTTTGAACGTGGCCTCCAGCCTCCCCCAATAGCCACACCTTCGCCACCATTTAATTACCTTAATATTAAATATCCTAATACATAAGTAGCTATCCTATCTGTGTTAAATTAGTTGAGCCGCAGATCTATGCGGCATTCAGTGACAGTAGCCTCATAGTCAATATCTGCAGCAGTTGTCGGAGTTGGGGCAGAAGCTCTCGTTCCCCTGAGGCAGAGCAAAGCCGACCGAAGGAGAGAGAAAGACAGTCGACATCTCATCCAGGCTGTAACATAACTTCTGGGCTGCTGCTTCTGTTCGGAGATCACCTCCGCGAGTCTGGCGTAGAAACATCTTGCACTTGGTCCCATCCCACCAGAGGTTGTGAACACTAGAGGAGTGAAGCTGCCTTGATCAACGTTTTGAATTCTCTCCCCATATGCCCTTCTCTTGTCGTTCTCGTTCCTCCTATGTGCAGCATCGAGAGCTAGGTTACGGTGACATGCGGCCATGGGATAAAAAATCCTGATGTCGAAGAAAGCTCGCTGTCCCGCGTCCAGAATCCTCGAGCACTGACGTCCACACGGGCTTCGTTAGATGTGTTTGAAGTCCTGTGTTGGAAGATCTCACCATCCAATGGAAGGAGGGTCGGTTCTACCATGACGTCCCGGCAGATTTCCTTCAACATATTTGCTGTGAGGTCCCTTACCTCGTCATGCCTCATGCATATGAAGCCTCCCTTCTTGCACACCATGGCGTGATCGCCATCATAGGAAGAGCCACACACGCATTGGGAGGGCATTGGGAGGGCAAACCTTCTACGGGCCGACCGTACCTTACAGCAATGGCATCTGTATATTCTTGTTTATTCAGACTGAAACCATTTGCCCTTATCGGTAACGTAGTCAACCAGTTCGAGGCGCCCACCTCCTGCGCTATAGCTACTTTTTTTTTCAAATTTTCTGGTACCTGCAGCAACAGTTGCAGCAACTTATCATTTTGGCAGTGCTGTCGATCTGTCATAATGGACCTACGAATCTTATTTACTTCACTGGTATCCACTTCCCCTGTTGCATTCTGGGCTATTATGTGGTCCGTGAGGGCTGCCGTGAGCTTAAGTGAATTTTGATGTTCAGTGGCAGCAATCTCCTCTGGATTTGTTAGTCCCATCCCTCCCAGTCTTGATGGAAGTGCAAGAAGTGCTCTTTCTGCTGGGGTGAAGTCAGGGTGTTTCACTAATTTAGGAATGAAATTGACACTGATAACTTCTTCCAGAGGGTGGAGGAGGGGTCCGATATAAGGGATAGTATGCATCAGGTAGTTCCAACGATGCTTGACTCCATGGGTGAATGCAGCAAAGGCCGCATGTGGCTCTGTGTTAGCAATTTCAGAGAGCTTGGATTTCACTAACCCACTCATTCACCTTTCCCGCTAAGTACTCGGTCTTGAAGTCCGCAGTGCCAATTACTGCGCCTAGATGTCTTTGGCCGTCCTTAGTTATTTTGACCTCACTTCTGCCAAAAACCTCCAATGCCCGTTCGTAATGCTCTGGCTTCACGATGAGGAAGGACTTGCTGGCGTTTGGGTGGTACCCTACTTGTGGACCTCACGATGTTACCAAGTCCCACCACTTTTTGATGCCCTCCACTTTTCCTGCTCCTGTAAGGTCATCAGCATATGCCACTTGTTTGACCCCAATTGTTTCAAATTTTATTTCTCGATGGAGCACTGATAGGCCAATTGCATACATTGCCATTGCAACGGGGTCCCCCTGTGTTGTTCCCTCGGTTGACTGTAAGATGGTATCACCTCTTAGAGCCTTGTTGTTTACTATATAGAGGTCTGATGGATTCCTATACGAATTTTCAACATACATTGCAAAGCTTGGACACTTGATCTTGATGTTGTGCAGTGCAGCCTTGCGGTTAAGTATGCTGAATGCATTTGAAGCATCCACCAGGAGAACGGCCTCACAATCACGCTGCTCAAATATCATTCTCATGGCGTGAATGGCGGCCTCCCCGCCAGCCTGGTGGCCAGCACACACTTGTAGGTTCCCTGCTGCTGTCCTGACATCATCCTTTACCACCTACTACTACTACTACTACTACTAATAATAATAATAATAATAATAATAATAATAATAATAATAATAATAATAATAATAATAATAATAATAATAATAATAATAATAGATATTATTATTATTATTATTATTTATTATTATATTTTTGCCCCCCATGCCCTGATGTGGGTCATTACCTGTGCCCGGGTGGGCTAATGCAGGATGTTACTGGCTCTTAAGTGTTCTGTATGACTTACCACGGTTGGAGAAACTCAGACAATGAGATTATATCCGAGGACTGTGTCAATGCATTCTGCTCCCTGGGTGACATAATTAGTAAAGCTAGAAATGGCAAGAGGAAGTTATTGAATTTCTGCCTTTAGTTATAGGAAAAGGATCTTCTTCTCAAATAGATGAAAAGATGTATGCAACTGGCTTGAAAAATGTGATACTGCATGAGTGAAACATGGGAAGTTAAAGAGGATGACATATGCAGGCTTGAGAGAGCTGTGCCACTGAAATACAGTTAACTATTTTTCAAAACTAAGAGGGCAGTTAGGTAGTGAGAGTATTGGTTAAGTTTGTTTAAAAGTAGATTGACATTGTTTGGACATGTGGAGGGGACCAATTGGGCCAAGGGCTGCAAGTCTAAATTTAAAGGTGAAGAAAGCCAGAGGTAGGCCATAGGGAGAGGCTGTAAGAAAAACATCAGATATATGAACTTGACATGAGGCTGAGAGACCATGTAGAACAGAGACATACGTGGTCACAGTTAACAAATGGAAACAACGAAGACGATTTATTTTCATATTAAAGATTTGAAGATCTCTGAATTCTACAGACCATAACCAAGTCACACTGCACATTACAATGCATAAACTACCAGGTATCAATATTACACAGTACAGTATTTAATTTGTCATTATAAAGATCACAATCCAAATTATCTCAATATTAAAACAGTTAGACTCCTTATTATCTCAAGGTTATGTGTCAGAGTATCTCATGTGCAAAATATATGACATGTATATTCAAAATATTCCTGGTCTTGCAAGGAATCCAGCAATGTCAATTATATCATCCTAACTTTAGTCTGAGGTATTATTTATTACTATACCTTAAAATCTAGTGTTTTCACCCAAACATTTCTCAGAGAGGAAGGAGCCAGTGAGCGTGGGAAGACCGGGGAGGTTGAGTCCATTATTTGAATGGACATTAACCTGGCGACTGTATTTCTCTTAAATATTAATTGTGTGTGCATACCATCATAAAATTAAGATGTTATTTTTACTACAACATAGATATTGTGTCGGTATTATGTCCGAAAAAGTGGAGTTTGGGAGTCGGCCCAGTCTCTATTTCAATTAATCCCATATGTTCTGTTATTCAATTTACCCGTTTCTCGTTTTACGTGGACCTCCGCGGGTTCAATTGACCATGTAAATCGGGTATTACTATATGCTTAAAAAGATAAATGACACGGTATCCTTAAATGCGCACGTATATGTTGGCGTTCCTAATCCATCTCTTTTTTTTCTTTGCCATTAGTGTTTAGCTACTTCTATTGTTCCTTTTATTAACATTGAATAACGTTACTTAAAACATTTATATTTATTTTTTACATTAATTTTACCTCGGCTACAACCAGGGTCTTATTTTCTTCATTTTCTCGTGTAAAACTATCGTCCCGAACTCCAGGTTGTAAACACAAACGAAAACAATGGCGTCCCATCTCCTCTAGTGTGACCATATTATTATTAATTTATATTGTATAAGGTGTATTGAGAAACATTATTTAAAGAATATAGATTGCAATTTTTATTAATTGTATTGTTTTGGGGGAAAAGAGGGTAAAAAGACACACAAAAGTTATGAAAAGGTCAAACTGGGGAACGCATCTCATTATTATTGCTTTACTTTAATGGTAATTAATGAATCATGATACAATGATTCACCTTACACTGCAATATTGGAGGACACATTAACGTCGTTATTCAAGGCTTTACTGTATTATAAGAAATATTGTATCATTACTTGAGTAAATTAAATAATATTCCCACAAACAACAATTGGTAACTCTCGGGCACCTGTGTCCCACGTGCTGACGCCTTGGTCCCTTAAAATTTTGCAGACTTGTCACCGGAGGAAAAATTTTGTCCTACCCTTTTCTTTAATTTTGAAAAATTTTTAGGAAAATTTTGTCCGGCTTAAGCGATATCCGCCTTAGTGGGGTCCGCCTTAACACTCAACACCAGCAGAGGACTACATTTGTCCCAGTCTCAAGGGTTCGTTCCCAGGATCTAATGTGAGAAGGGTGTCATCCGGTGTGACCCTGCCAAATTTGCAGGTTTTCTCCGGGTACAGTCCTCCAGTTTCCTCCAGTACTAACACTGAACAATGAAGGACAAACTCATCAGGAACAATGGAAGGATTAAACTAGCCGCCAACATCCTTCCCCCATCAAAGCACCATAGGGGTATTAATTCAATTAAAATTACTACAAACTATGTCCACCTACAATACAATACACGTTTGAGTACAGTATATAAATACAAAATTAAACTCACCAACAGAGGTCCATCCCTTCATTTGTGTGTCCATTAACTGAGCCCATCCTGCATGGTAATAGAGATGTCGGACAACCAAAGGTACATCACAGTCGCGAGTTTCTCGAACAGTCTTCCCATTGTCCAGGGATTCCACCACAGCTATGAGACGGGAGTGTTTCTGGACATGACGGGCAATGCTGGAATTTAAAGGTAATTTAATATTAAATTTTACTGTACCTTACATATAAACTGTACAGGTTAATCCTCGAATTAAAGGCATCGACAGGACCTGGACCATGACGTTAAATCCAATTTGCTGTTAAATCGAAGTATGGGGGGAAAACTCACTGACAAAACCATTGCATCAAGCTACCAAGATTAACATATTTAGAAATGATAAATGTTTAAGTCTGAGTATGTAAATAAACACATAAACACGTACTTCCTAGGGGACGTAAATCACTCAGGATATTATAGTCTACCCTAGTAAACCGTTTTCTCTAATACAAAGAGTAAAAATCACAATATAATAGAGTACTATAATGTGGCTTAGAAATAAAGAAAATGAAGAGCATGGGTGTGTATGTGTGGGAAGTGAACATATGTGTAGAGGCAATGAACAATGAACTGTAACCGAGTGAGCACGCAAGCACGCACGCAAGCAAGCACGCACGCAAGCACGCAAGCAAGCACGCACGCAAGCAAGCACGCACGCAAGCAAGCACGCACGCATGCACACACACACACTCACACACACACACACACCTCAGTGAGTGAGGTCCTGTGACCACGTGGTGTCCCCATGATGCTGCGACACCACGTAGTGAATGAGTTGCTACAGCATCATGTGAAGTTCCTCATAACACCATCTGTGAGGGAATTACTACACCATGTGATGCCCCTCATAACACCATCTGTGAGGGAATTATTACACCACATCAGGCCCCTCATACATCATCTGTGAGGGAATTATTACACCACATCAGGCCCCTCATACACCATCTGTGAGGGAATTTCTTCACCACATCAGGCCCCGCATAACACCATCTGTGAGGGAACTACTACATCATCAAGCCCCTCGTAACACCATCTGTGAGGGAATTACTACACCACGTCAAGCCCCTCATAACACCACCTGTGAGGGAACTAGTACTCCACGTGATGCCCCTCATAACGCCATCTGTGAGGGAGTTACTACACTACGTGTCTGCTGTTCAACACCTCAGCTCACATGATCTACGTGTGTAAACATTAATCTGTATGTTCACTGTATGTTCCTTCACCTTTCTTCTAATGAAGGCTTTTGTTAAACCACCAATGTATGTAATAAGTCATTTATGTCCAATGTATATTTTCAGCCTTCGGGCTGCAAACTTTTTCAATAAACCGTAATTATTATTATTATTAACGCACGCACGCACGCACGCACGCACACACACACACACACACACACACACACACACACACACACACACACACACACACACACACACACACACACACACCATGTATCTACTTACCTGTATAAGTAGCGAGCTCTTGCATGACCTGACAGTTTACTCCATGACTTGTGGGCCTCCTTTGCTGCAGCAACAGCTTGGTTGACATCATCTTGATTACCCTGAATGGTTGATGCCAAAACAGTGCCCCGACATGGATCTTTTGTTTCATAAGTCTTCCGCTCGCCGGGATGCACCCACACGTTGTTTATGAAGTGACCAAATTTCCGATCATGGTCATCAAGCCATGCCTGTAACATTCATTAATATAATCAAACACTGCCATTTTTTTAAACACTCGGGGCAGCAAGCCCGAAGAGCAATCCCGAATGTCGGGTTACTGTTTAGTAGCCCGTCATATGGTTTCGTCAGACTCAAATATCAATCCCGGACACCGGGTTACTATTTAGTAACCCGAACGCTGCAACTCGAGAGGGTTGGTACGCCTTATCCAAGATAAATGTAAACAAACCAGGTCAATCTGCGTGCCAAAATTGAAGCAGAAACATGAGCTGTGGTGATAAAAGTTCATCTTCAAGGGAGAAGGCAGACACCTACACCAATTATGCCAGCATCTGCACCAGCAGGAACACTTGGATCAACTGATCCAACATCAGGATCACCTGTGCCAGCCACCAGCATCAACATCCAGTCACCGAGTAAGATAAAAGCAGGTGAACAAGAGGAATAAGCTTCATTGCCTATTAAGAGCACCCAAGAACTGAATGGTCTATATTAGGCTTTAAAGACCATCACTAGTATGTGAATATTGGCCATTGCAAAATAATTACAGTAATATATATATATATATATATATATATATATATATATATATATATATATATATATATATATATATATATATATATATATATATATATATATATATATATATATATATATATATATATACAGCTTACACTCGCCGCTGCTTTTTTACGCGCCTATCGCTTAACGCTGGGCCACTTAAACGCTGCAAGATATACGCGTGCCTTGCTAAAGCTGAACTTTCACTTAACGCGGTTTTCCACAGCCACGGGTGAGTGTCCGCCCGGATGCTGCCATTTTTAGATTTTTGACCACGCCACCAGCCACCCAATTCGCCTGCCTGCTCACAGTTCTCTCCTCCTCCTCCCTCCGCTTAGTAAGCGCGTAAGGTTATGCAGTGTGTGTCTTGTTATGCTATCACTGACGCCATGACGCCTCGATCGTGATTGGCCATGTGTTCACCCCCCTCTGCTGCTAGCTGTAATTGGCTTAAAGTATTATGACGTGACTACCCCGGGAGGGAGGGGAGGGAGGAGAGACGACGCTGACCTAGCCGCGCAGTTTCTATCCTCAAGGCTGATGTAGCCGGGTTAACGCGCATCCATTGTTCCGTAAATGCTTCCTACCGACCACCACCCCAGAGAGAAACCTCTCTTACCTGGACCCAGCGGCACTAAACCAAAGAAGACACGACGCTCATTAAGCTACGAAATAAGTACCAAACGTCTAAGATTTGGAGAAAGGTATGACAGCATTCACAAGGCCAAAGATGAGCACAACGACCCACGATTCCATAACAAAAAGAAGGATGCAGCTAAGATAAAGGAGCACATGAAGATCAAGCAAAACGCAGGTGCTTCATCTATCAGGTATTGCCAGAATAGGGTGCTGGCAAAGTGAAACTTTTTTAAGCGGGTGAGTTATTAAAAAACAGGCGACGCAACATGGCGGTGACACGCTACCAGTGCAGGAGCACGACGTGAGCTATACGAAAGTGACATGTAAACTGGAATTGCAGAGCCCAAACCCTTCAATGCTTCCTGGGCGTGTTGGCTGCATAGGTTGATGGAGATTACGTCACCAACATCAGCATTACAGAGGAAGTTTAGTGCCGAGCGCGGGCGGGTTAGAGATTTTCCTCCGCTTACGGAGATTATGGAAGACAGTACAGTGACGACGGTGGTGTTTAATGAGGACGAATCTGGTCTTTTCTGGAAAAAGTTACTTCAAGACCTTCGTTGTCCAGCGTCTGGCGAAAGAAGGTAAGGGGCCGAAGATGCAGAAGGAACGATCACCGCCCTGTTTACCACCAATGCCTCCGCAATCGGTAAAACTAAAAGTTATCGGTGATTCACAAAGCCCGCAAGCCGCACGCCATAGAAATGAAGTGACATGAAATCAAGTTTAATGTCCATACTGGCTAACCGCACGAAGGCGTGGATGTCCTCTCTTCTCTGTCCCTCTTCTGGTTTGACAACTGTTTTGTTCCTGACGTGCAGAAATTTATGCAGCAACAGAATGTTCTTTCAATATTTTGTTGCTCCTGACAACGCACCTGGACACTCGCTTCTACTTATGGATCGTCACCCCAACGTAAAAGTGGTCTTCTCTCCCAACACTACGCCATTAATCCAGCCCATGGACCAGAGTTAATCTGCAATGTTAAAGCTGCATACCGCAAAGAAATTCAAGCTCCTTGGAAATTCAATTTCTACCAACACCAAGGATGAGTCATGGAGCTGGGTGACACCGACAGCGCAGAGTAAAAGCGACAGGACAAGGAACAAGAGGCGGCGACTAAGGAACTTCGCCAAACAATTTTGGAAGAAGTTTAACGGCCAAACAAGCTGTAACTTCTTTGGTGAGGCATGGATCCGCTGTCTATTGCTACGATTCGTCATTTATGGAGACATGTGTTGCATGGCATACCAGGTGAGAGGAGGAGGAATGTGACTGGTCAGGTTCAGACTGGCGGTAGCAGTGGACCTTTGCCAGAGAAGCTGCGCCAGTGCATTACAGCTGAAGGTTTCTCCGAGACCGCTCAACGGCATATTATCATGGAGGTATCAGAGATCCTGAAGGATTGCTGCATTTAGATGTTAAAAGAAGAAGAACCTGCCAGTGAAGAGGAGGAAGGTGCTGGCCATTCTCCGAAGAACCTAGTTTAAGTCATGGAGGCGGATAGTTATGCGTCTCATAGAGCACAGAAAAATTAGTCCATCAGCTTCATGATATCGACGATGAACGCCATGACGCTTCCGGTATACCCGACTGGTGCAGGCTATGGAGCCAGACATCACGTACTGCGACAACATCAGCCAGCCACAAAGCAAAGACAACCGAAGTTCTTCGCTCAAGAACTCCACCACAGCCAGCCCAAGCCAGTGATAGTGTGATAGGAAGTTGATTTTGAGGGGATTTATTGTAGCTACAATAACCGTAAGTGACAGTGATATTGACTACCTAGTAATGGTGATTCACCTATAATGGTGATTCACCTGAGGCAGTAATCTGCCTCTGCCTCGAACCAGCCTCCATCCCCGTGACAGTCGGACTCCATCTCTACTACCGTGAGTGTTCCTCAAAAAAATTTTCGTTTTTAACCTATCTTTATTTTTCCTATGTTAACCTTTTATCTTTCCTAACCTAACTTCTATATTACTTGTTTTTTTGCCACCATAAAGTTAAGATTTTACACAACATAGTTATTTGTCGCCGGTGCGTTTCATATATATATATATATATATATATATATATATATATATATATATATATATATATATATATATAGTAATGAGTACTACTATATATATATATATATATATATATATATATATATATATATATATATATATATATATATATATATATATATATATATATATATATATATATATATATATATATATATATATATATATATATATATATATATATATATATATATATATATATGAAGTGAGTACCCCAGGCTGAACCACAGTTGAAAGTGAAACGCTACTTCAACAGAACATATGGGATTACAACAAACTGACCGACCCCCAAACTTTTCGTCACAATACCCTGTATTTGTAGTAAAAATAACATCTAAATTTATGATGGTATGCTCACACAATTAATATTTAAGAAGAAATCCTTGAATTATGTCCATTCAAATAATGGACTCCAAATCCCCTCTCTTCCCAGCTCACTCCCCTACCTCTCTGAGAAATGATTGGGTGAAACACTAGATTTTAATGTTTAGTAATAAATAATACCTCAGACTAAAGTTAGGATAATATAATTGATATTTCTGGATTCCTTGCAGGTCTGGGAATATTTTGGTATAAACTTCATATATTTTGCACAAAAGATAAAATACTTGCTTTGTGTAAACCAAATTATTACATTAGATCTAAAATTTGTATGTCTAATGCAAAATCCATGTTGTTTATATTCGACATGATCATCATATTGTAAGAATTCCAGCAATGTAAATTATATTCTGGCTGGGTAATTTGTATGAATTTTATGAGCTAAAACATATATCTTCATTAAATAAACAAAGAAATATTCTTCAAGGACACTATCTGTCAATCAAAATAATCGGCCCTAGCTGGGTCGGTCCCTCCCTACCAGAGAAATGTTTGGGAGAAAACAGTAGATTTACATTTTTAGTAATAAATAATACCTCAGATTAAAGTTAGGATAATATAATTGACATTTCTAGATTCCTTGCAGGTCTGGGAGTATTTTGTATGTAATCTTCATATATTTTGCACAAAAGATAAAATATTTGCTTAGTGTAAACCAAATTATTACATTAGATCTAAAATTTGTATGTCTAATAAAAAATCCATGATGTTTATATTCAAAATGATCATCATATTGTAAGAATTCAGCAATGTAAATTGTATTCTGGCCGGGTAATTTGTATGAATTTTATGAACTAAAAAAAAAATTATACTTCAGCATTATATGAGTAGATGCACCGAGAAAGTGAAAGTCCGGTTCGCAGCAGGTACAGCGTAAATGAGAAATCGCGGAAAGTGAAACCGTTAAAAGCGGGAATACTGTACAGTTGGTCTCACATTATGCCAGTTAAGTAACCCAGAGGGTCCCCTGGAAAGTGAGGAAGCGTAAAGTGAACAACATAACATAGGGATTAATTGAAATGGAGTCAGGCGATCCCCAAACTCCACTTTTGCGACACACAACTATGTTGTAGTAAAATATTATCTTAACTTTATGATGGCATGCACACACAATTAATAATTAAGAGAAATATCAATAATATTAGGTTTTAACACTTACATTAGTAGAAAAGATGCCTGGGCACGAGGATGGGGGTTGGTTCGAGGAAGAGGGCAGATTATTGCCCTCACCTGTATCACTTGTATCAATTGTATCACTATCCACCACAGAGGCTTGCAGGGCCTCTTTGTCAAACCCCAAAGTTCGTATAAGTCCATATCCTCACTATAATTATCACTATCTCACTGGC